TTAAAAGAGAAAAGTCACTTACACAAATTTATAAAATATTATTTAAAAAACAACATTCAAACGTAATTGTGTTCGACACTTGTAATGATGTATTAAGCCGTATTGATAGATGACAGACAAAAAATAAAAACGTCGAAAATATCTGTAATACCTTAATCAGTGAAGATAAAATTGTGTGAAATCCAATATTATAAAAACGCAATTATAATATTATTTCCGTTTAGTTTCGTTTATCGATAATTTCAAATATACGACCTTTCGTACACACATTCTTTCGAACAGACAATCTTTCGGACACTTGAAGTTCGGCCATACGGCATTCGAACACATGACCCCTTACCAAACTATATATTGTATTTTGACATTAACTTTTTATACAGTATGGTTTGAATACTCATGCTTAAATGTTTAATATAGTGATACTAGAAAAAACTCAATAATAATTTTAGTATCATAGATTAAATTATTAATTTCAGATAAAACTATTATATCATTCATAAAAACATTATTATAAAACTTAATAGGTTTAACTATTATTATTCCTTACCACAAAAATACTAAAAACTAAAAAAAATAAATGGAAAACGTCCAGAAGATAATTTGTTTACATATCTATAACTAATATAATTATGTACAAAATATATTTATTTAGTATTGTCAAAGTATACATTAGCTTGCACTCCTAAATTAAGCACAAATAATTATTTAATGGTACATTTTTAGTTTAATTATAATAATTAATTAACCAGCAAAAAATTTCCTTTATCCTAGTAGAACTAATTATATTCATATTGCATACGATTTCACTGCCATATAATCTATATTTTGAAAAATAGATTAAATATCATAAATAATTTAAAATACTTGTACATATATCATTAAAAAGAAAATTTCATATTTAACCTAATAGTTTATGCATATAACTATTTATACCTACTACTGTAATACTCATACAATGTCAAACGATAGATTAATTTTTATACATTTATTTACTTAATTTATTATTATTATTATTTTAATTTTACATTTTTTATATACTTTATTACATAATATATTCGTACGCTTAATGCTATCGTCTAATATATTTAAAACGCATGAATAAATATATATAAATAAATAGTTTCTGTTATGTGTCGTCTTTGCGAAATGTTTGTACACAAATTGTACACGCATTAGGTCTATTATAATAATAATTTGTCTAAAGAAGCAAACGTAATTTGCTAATTATAGCAAGTTTTCTATTTATAGAAAGTTTCAAATTTAAATAAGCCAAAAAATATTTTGGTATTAACTGATTTTAAGATATACATTAAAGAAAACGAATTTCAGAGTTCTTCTAAAGTGAATTATAAGTTTGAAAATCACAAGCACAGTACATTTCGAATTGGATATGAAATCAATATTTTTATAGTTTATACTACCACTTAATTTTAAAAATTATAAAGTATTGAATAGTAGTTACTGCAGTAGTAATAGATTATGATGGACGTGCGAACCTAGTTAATAACTCGAGAGAAAATAGTTATAGTAATTATAACTATGGGTCTTCAAGATGTGACGAACAAACACTCATATAGTACATAAAACACAATACAAAATAGGTTTTTTACATTAAAAAAAGTATGTTATTATTTATTGGTACAAATGTGTCATAAATAATAAAGTTTCAATTGCAATGCATATGGTAAGAAACACGAAAAATGTATTTATGAGTTAGAGCGTTCGTGATATATAACCGATCCATCAAATGTATTTGTTCATGTATGGTCTTTAAAATATTATTTTTCTTGTAAGTAAATGCCTTCGTCTTAATGAGCATAATAATTTAATCGAATCGTAACATTACGATATTCTATTATTTATACTATGCATTTCGTACAGCAGCCGATATTATAATATTTTTTTATCTGTTTTTTTAATCGCCAAAATGTTCAAACAACTATTTTTTCTTCTCTTTGCTAAATACAATTTATCTTTCTGTTCACGTCTAATAACCCTGCTTCAAAATATCTAGAATTTTTTTTTATATATTTCCACGGTCGGCTGACCGACCGCAGACTATAAATATGTCCTCGTGTTGTGGTTACCGACTAATTCTGTAAAAATATAAATCGGTAATGTCTTCGATGACCCATCACTGTCCACAGCGAATGTCCACTTAATTAGATATACCTGCTCGCCACTTGAGCATAATGCGCGACCGTGGACGACGGTTAGCCAATCGTAATAATAAATCGGTCGCGGGGTGTTGGAAGACCATGGATCGCTGAGCTCTTTGTGTAAATACTCGGCGTATTATTTTCAGACGCTTATACAGCCTACTTTCACATGGGTCGTCACTTGGTTCATCTCAAAAGTAATAATTCACGGCCAACGCTTGTGTAAATATTGTATGCGCGTGTGTAATTGTAGTCAAAACATTTTAAACTACTGTGGGAAGACTATTATAATATTTCCGTGGAGCTTGGTATGCTGTACTACTATTAATACCGTCATTGTGTTGTGATCGCGGCGACTAGATCTCGTATTTTGTTTACAGGTGTGAATTAAAGTTAATATCCTTGGGGTTATAGCTCGTCCGCTTGCAGAATCCACGCACAAACGGTTACTGTTGACAATTGTAACGCAGTATTAGGAATATATCGGGTCCATTGTAGTGGGATGTATTTGAAAAGAACAAATCACGTCCGAAGACGTCGGGACATTGGTGACAAGGATGAGAATATTTACGAAAATAACTATGAATATTTTTATGATGTTATCACTATTACTAAAAGTTTTGTTTGCGTACAACTATGTTGCACTCGTAGAGGTCAGTTATTTGATTTTTCCGAAGGAACAAAAGTAAACTTTTATTTGCTGTTTTTTTTGTGATTTAATCGAAACAAGATTATATTTTTTACCTTCTTCTTGGAAGTATAAAAACCATAAGCTCATATCGAAATTTAACGAAGTGCATTGTATCCAGTACCCATCTTTGGTTCATTATTCATAAATACAGTGACGACCATCAGAACGCTCTAGCAATAGTTCTATAATATAATTCATATCGAACAGTTTCAATATTTAGTAAAATTATTACATATGAATTTATAATTCTTCAAAAATTATTATAAATAGAAATTTTTGAATGTATTTCATGTTGAAAAGGACCGTATGACAAAACAGTTACTTGTTTGTGTTTACTATAACATTCTTGTATAAAATACATGTAAGAATAAAGTAGTATCGATTAAATAGTTCTGAACGTTAAATAATACAACATAGTGTTCTAAGATTTTTAAATTTTCATTGAAATCAACATTGAACACTTTTGCGGGGAAAAAATTCCCACGGATAACCAACAATGTGTAGGAAGAATTAATTTTTTTGTCAGACTTTCACATAATATACTGGTAAATTTTTCCAATGTAATGTTAAATTTGTTATAAGGTTTCATTAGTATTATTATTCATACTATTTATATACTTCAGCAGTTACTCAGACATGACAAACAAAATATTAAAAACCTTATAAATAAAAAGTTCACAAGTATATTTTTTAAATTTACTATCTGTAGTATTATTATAACCTACTAGTATATGTCGAGTTTTCGTTAATTTCAAATATATTCACGACATAAGAATCCACTGGCTATTGCTCCTCGAGAAAGTCGTTTTTACAACGAGTACTTAAATGTACATTTATATAATATAATATCGTTTTTCATTCGAGAGTTCTATTGAAAACTTCCAATAAAATTCTTAAATATCATGTACAGTAAAAACTATGAAGTGAAAAATTTTTCAATTTTATAAAACCATGTTTGTTTCATACAACAATAACTACAATGTTAATTTATGATAATAGTGAGAAGATCAATGTAAATTTTTACCTCGGGTTGGTTTCGTAACTGTGTACTTAAAGGGGATTATAGAGACTTTATACATTTAATGATTATTAAATAAGCTTGAAGATTATAAAATATGTTTTCGTTAAATTCGAATTTAAGTCATGTATAAGATATTACGCATACAACGAGGAAAGGAAATGCAATGGTAACAATAAGAGGAATAATGAACACTTCGTATCTGTAATTGAATCGCTAAAACGTTGTCGATAAAAACAAGATAAATATAATAACATACAGAACGTAATCGGTTAATGTAACGGTAACAATTGATATTCACCCGTGGGTTAAACATACAATGCGACTGTTTGTACGCATCGGATTTTGATATTTCCGTGTTCACAGTAAAAATTCCCGACGTACTTCGGACGATCGAGGAAACCCATGGTACTAACACGTTCGTTTAAATATTGAAATCGATTTAAATCGGTACGCTTGTTCGGCGGCCAATGTCAACCAACCGTTTTTAATAATTTTCAGCCAGACGTCGATGATAATATTACACGATCCACGGCCGAGTCGCATCGTAATGGTACAAATTGTATAACACCGTTATATTGTAAAAACCTCTTGGGTTGTAAACCGCACGGCGATTCACGAATTATATATTTACCGTGGCGGGCGGAAATGTCACGCGGACACATCGTGTTAAATCGAAAACCACGCTTTGCTAAAAGGGGGGGGGGGGGGAAAAACCAACAGACACGACCGTTCTCGGTGCGTACCGCATTGAGCGTCGCGGTCGGGTCGGGTTCAACGGAAAATCTGCTGCGCCGCGGGTGGGGCGGCGGCGGCGGCGGTGGCGCGCGAACGCTTCGGGTGACGGTCGGGGAACGTAGAGGGGATCGAGTCGACCCGTACCTGGAAGGTACGCGTCGGCGGTCGTATAAAACGTCTTGGCCCCGTGTCCGTCGTGGTTCTTACGCTCCGGTAACGTTCGCGTTCGGTACCCGGTCCATCTGTCAAACGCGCGCACACCGCCTGTCGTCGTTTCGCGTTTTCTTTCCGTTCACCTGCGGCAAGCTTCCCCGATCGTTCGCGCACCGTCTCCGTCACCGTCATAACACCGCACTCGTCGTCACGTCGTGCGCTGCACCGTCAACGGCACAATATGGTGTTGTCCGCCGTGTCGATCGTGATGCTGGCCGTGTGGTGCGCGTCCGCGAACGTGGTCGTGCCGAACGCGACGGATACCGCGACCGCGGTCGCGGCGGACTCGCAGCCCACTGCCGCCGCAGCCGCCGCAGCCGCTGATGAACCCGGCGCGGTCGCGGAACCGCCGACCATTGTGGTGTACAACAGTACCGAGGAGAACCGCGATTCCAGGTTCCTCAGCTTCTCGATGGGTACCGATCAGGCGGCCGCGGCGTCCGCGTCCAGCACCAATGCGCTGCAGGAGAAACAGGACGAGTCGACCGCCGATCCGAGCGCGCACCTGGTCGACATTTACACCGACTGTCTGATGCAGCTGTCGTTCCCGTGCGTGCAGCGCAAGTTCCTGCTGTTCCTGGACAAGCTCGGCAGAATGAAAGGTGAGTTCCGGGCGATCCCATCACGCGTACGTGGGTCTACGCGGTCGTCGTGACGGTACCAACACCCGGGGGCGCGATGTACAAACATATTAGGTTTACCGGTTTCGGACGAACGACGTGTACGAGCACGTCAAGAGCTATCGGAAAGAATAACAACGAGATAACGATTTACAATCGTCGTTCGAGTGACGAACGGTCGTCATGCACCGTTGATACGGAGAGAGCAACGGGATGAACTGATGATCGTTGTACGTCCGCGCAGTTATTGTATGTGATAGGAAAATAGTACACGTGTAGTTCGGACGGTGTCGAAGAACCCGAAAACGTTTTGTCTTCGAACATTCGACTCCGTGGTCTGTCCGTTCGATTTTCGTTTTAAGACGGTTTTCCGACGCTACCGGACGGTTCGCTGCGCTGCCGATGTAATATTTCGCCGACCGTCTCGCGAAATCGGTGTCACCCTCGTCGCGAAACACCTCGTCACGACGGAGCGGCGGTACCCGTTCTGCCGTTTCCGTCGTCAGATGATCGTGCGAATATAATATAATATTGCCTACATTAGTTATATACATATATGTATGCGTTTGTGTTGTTCCGTGAAAACGAATTTGTACGAAATCGGTTTCTCGGCGTGCAACGCGCTTTATTCGTTCGAATCACAAATTATCGGTCCGTGTATTCCACTCGTGAAATCTGTTTGCATGGTTTTTTTTTCCCCATGACAGCAACAATTATTATGCCACTGATATCGCTGTCTTTTCACCAGCACCACTGTTGGCATGCCTTCCGTAACACGGCCAATAGTACATATTTAACGTGTAACGTCCCACACGAACAGACGAAAAACCACGTACCGATTTTTATTAGATTAACGCCCCGTTGGAAATTTGACACGCGATACTGTACCATAACATTTTGTTACGTTCGAGAAATTACAAACGAAAAAAATTATAACGAGCCTCGGGGGGAAAAAAAAATTAACAACTATATTATAATATTTACAATGTATATGCATGGCCATAATTTTAGTCTAACCAAAAAAATAATGTTTTCGCGCAGATGCACTTCTTACAGCTTCGTAATGTCCTTTAAAAGTAGACGATACACGATTGTTATGTATTCGATTTGCAATACCCATTTGTATGAGATGTTATAATTCCGTTGGAAATTTGATACGCGACTTTATGATTTACATAAATAATTCGAAAATTAAGAAATATATATATAATATATAAATAAAGACCAAAAAAAAATTAAAATGAAAATACTATGTTTTTTTTATAAACTATATATAATGAACATAATTTGCATTTGAACCTGTACGATCGTGTTATTTTCCGATTTAACTGCGTGCACATTATGGTATCGAAATTGTACTCCATTATATTGAATTTACCTTTAATAAAAAATGACCTCCAATGAATTCAACAAAAAGGTGAGTAATCATTTTGATTTTTTATTTATTATTGAATTTAAAAAAGTATTTAACTACATTATGGTACCACTAGACCTACATGCGATTATTGGTTTATTTTTAAGTATATAATTTTTGTTTATAAATACATAACTAAAATTACTATAAATTTTAAACTATTATTATTAATATTACTAGAGCTCTACAGTTGTAAGTATAAGAACTTAAAAGAACTTAAAATTTACGTATTTCATTCACCTAAATTATAAAACTTATTTCTCGAGTAAGTCATTAATTGATGTTCTAACTTAAAAATATATATACACATATCTTATAGTCTAATCTATTATCTGTATCAATTTATTTACTATGAATGATTGATATGCATTTTTCACGTAAACTAATAAATAATGTTAGAAAATGTCAATGTTAGAAGTTTCAGAAATATTTTGAGTCGTCACGTCAAAACGTCTACATGCTTTTGTTGCCTTAACCGATTTTTACAGTCATAATATTATTTATTTCAATTTGTTTTTATACGGAATATTAGAAAAAACAGGAAAATCATTTGAAATAGCGTGTATAGTTAAACCAGCATTGCATACTATTCATGATTTTGACAATAGATCTTACTGAAGTGAAACGTTGAACATCGGTTGCCAAAATATACGTAGAACTCAGCAGTATCGTCTTTTTGACGGATCAGAAAATCTATTTCCGACACCAATCTACGTTTGAATTCTATTTATTTTAAGTTTTAGAAAGCTACGGAGTACAGTGTTAATATATAATTATTTTTTACCAACGATTTTTTGAAAATACATTTTCGTCGATGAAAAATCAAACAATGCTCTTGAGTCGATTAGAAACGTTTTAATGGGGATAAAAATTACACAAATAATGTGATATAGACAAATAATAAATAAGAAAAATCTACACTTTTTTTTGGATAAACCTTACTTTTAATAATAAAAACATAATGATCAATTCACTATCATTAAATAATTGTCCACCAATGACGGACGGGTTCCCGTGGCAAATGTTTGAATTAAGTTGAAAGTATGGAGAAATCAATCTTTGTTTTCGTTTTCAATTGGACTAAATTTACAATATTTAACATTTTACGTTGAACCAAAAAAATATACTTCGATCCATCAATTACGATTATTATTCTTACTTTTCGGTGTAATTTAGTTTTAAATACTTAAAGACGTCATGGTTCCCTAAGCTTGCATTAATTCGTCATCTGTGCATAATAACTATGCGTTCGATCTTTATTGAACGTAATTTTATCTTCTTGCCACCAAAGAAGAACAATGGATATGATCGATGGGTTTTAAATCATAATATTGGCATTATACCATACATACACGAATACCTAACATTATTATGTTATAATATTGTATTTTTATTTTTTCTAATATTACTCCTATACGTTCCTATACTTTATGTATACGTTTTACGTGTAATATGTAATAACGCGTATAAAGAGAACACGAAACAATGTTTGATTCCCGCGGACGTACGCGATGCACCGGATTTTTATTGATAGGCTGTCAACAATTGAATTGTAGACATTTCGAAATAATAAGAAATAATATTAAACACGCGTTTACCAACAATGAGATGGTGTTTAACAAAATATTAAACGTGTTTTCAAATAGACACACTGCATTTGGTATGTGTGTGTGTGTGTGTGTGTGTGTGTGTGAATACATACATACATATTTTTTTAATCCTTATATGTTTTCGGTTTTCTTTCAAATAATATTTTACAACATTACAATATACTTTGTTCTCATTTTTGTACATATAATAAAAATATTATTTTGTATTTACAATCGATAAAATAAGCACAATGACATATATACATTATTATATGTACAGATTGTTCTATTGTGTTTTCCGCAATATTTTCTAGGCTTTGTGGGATAATGGAATTTCTATATCGTTCTCACCACTAAAATAAATAAAAACAAATTGAAAAATCATCGTGGTATAGAACGTGTAAAAAGTATACCCTCGAACGTTGCGTACACCGACATATAGTGTATTATACGGAAACTTGTGTTTGTTTTTATCTCTGAAAAAATAAAACTCCATCAAGTTTTGAGTTGATTTTTAGATAATAACAGTTGACGGTTTAATCATATCCGACAGTCGATCCGCAAATAATTTATAATGTGCGAATAGAATGAAATTGAGGATTTAAAACCCAGTGTTTTTTTTTTTTTTATTCTTAAATTTGTTATTATCTTATTTTTTTTTTTTTTTGTGTAGTTGCTATGCTCAATTGGTGATGTATAATTTAAACCACGGTGACTTTTCCGTAAGATTATTTTCAGATCAAATTATCGCAATGTATTTAGAGAGCAAGAGTGAGGAAACTAAAAGAAATTGAAACGGTTTCCCTGTATTAAACGACTTGACACAATATCAGTACTTGCCGGCGGCGTTAATAATTCCAAACGATTAAATAGGAATATGCTATCGGCGGGTTTTTCACGACACGTTATGAACGCGGAGGAAAATTGCCGGGAAATAAAAACTAACTATCGTTTAGAGGAAACGCGTTGACACATTGACGCGTTCATGTTGTCGCGTATAATTTCGAAAACCCGACCGAGAAAATAGATCATTTATCGAATTTAATTGACGTATTAACAGTTTACGTTATTTGAAAAGATATAGTGAATTCCACCGAAGATGGAATTATTAATATAAGATGGGTTTATTGTATCGCAAAGCCGTGTTTTAAACAGAAATCGATACAGAAAAAGTCCAAACATTTTTGTTGGAAACGGAATATTTTCTTGGTCCAGTGCGATTCCGTCTTGGGCATATTCAAATACTGTTTTACGCTGAATGATCGCATTTATCGGAAACGGAAGAATTCATTCGGTTCCATTATCTCATGACGATTTCCACATATTTTGTGTAAAACAATGAGATCAACACGGAAAGATGACGGATTGTGTGATGCGCGTACGTAATAATCGTTTTCGACCACGCATTTGTTAATCGACCAACCGTTTTGCGGGCCGATGCAGGGAACGCAATACAACGACAATAGAGCAGTACTTCGTCCGTACATATTTTATACGTTTTATTCGATTGTCGTCGTTTTCTCTTTCGGAAATCGGCGTAAGATATCTGACAGCGTTCTGCTCCCGGCTAATTAGAAACGCTCGCAAACCCCGTACACCCCGTGCGAGTGCATAATATGTTTGTACATAAATCATACCGATACTTCTGTATTTGTGTAAATATACATGTATACATTTGCGCGGTAGAATTTCGCGTTGTTTACTTTTGTTTTCGCACCTGATACAATTATTGTTGTAGTAAATTTTTTGTCAATTTACCAGGCCGAGCCGTAAAGGCGGCCGCCGCCCGATCGCATTCGCGACGGTTTCTTCTGCGGACCGACTACGGTTTAGATTGGCGCGCAATGTAGAAAAACTCGGTAACCCACATCGAGCCAACACAGGTCCTATGCAGATGATATTGTTATAATCATCATTATTATTATTATTATTGTTATTACTGTTATTATTGTTATGTTTTCATATTTATTTCGGCCACGCGCCTGTACGGCGCGAACGACTATATTTATCTATTATTATTTATTTATTATTATCATCATCATCAACAGCAGCATCGCACTATTTGTCCTCTCCGATCTACTCTATATTTGTATAAGTACCATTAATGGGTCACACGACGGAAGACACTATTGTGTTCTTCGACCTATTCACTAAATCGTACTAATGTGAATGTTTTTAAATGGACAAAACCTTTTGTAATGATAATTTCTGTTCTCGGAAGAGTTTTTTATTATTTTTTTTTTTCAACTCTTTGTACCACTACAAGTTCGATCTTTGACCAGTCACGCTGACACTGTTCCGAGTTAGATCTCTGTTTCGTCAAAATTAAACGTATAGCACTGTTTTACTTTCTTTTTTTCATGTGGGAACTCTATCGGTGCACTACAGTTTTTTCCTTAAATTTCTACCTAAGTGTTCAGCAAATGTCCGCTTGTTTTCGTTCGAATTTTTTTTCTTATCAAAACAAATAAAAAACAAAAAAATGAACGAATAAAATTGAAAATAAAAATCATGAGAATAATAATTTTGTTTTCAATTAAAGTGATCCGATTAAATGGGTTTAATAAATATTAATGCATAGGGCAAAGTCAACATCGTATATTTTTTTCTTCTCATAACACCACTACCACCATCCTCTAAGCTTTTGGTATAGATCTCTCTAATACCGAAAAACTTGAGTCTACATGATATCAGCCGTAATGACGAACGTCAAAAATAATATAACTACTTGGGTCGCTTTTACATTCTAAATCTAGATCGATAATTTATTTTAAATTACGACAATTTTAAGTTTTTGGTGTCATTTTTGGATTGGTACTGATCTTGAATGTTATATTGTTGAGTCTTTCTAGTATTATTTAATCAATCGACCACACGCTGACATAACGATGGCATGTTATATTAAATTATCATTACAATGCACTTGCAACGAGTCAAACAGAAACGTCTAAAACTCAACGTTTTCATAGCGAAAAGATAAATGAAAAAATAAAACCACTAATCTAGAATATAATATTATTTTGTCTATTTATAATTAAATATTAATCTACTGTGGTTCCTTATGTAATATCGATCGTATTTTTTATTGTAACGTCGCAGGTTTTAGCGTTTTGGGTGATCTACTCTCGGTGGTCAGGATCAAGAGGGACATGAGACCACCACTAAACGAAACTGACCTGATGGCCAGACTCAACACCGTGGATGAACAGAGTGCCCTTTCTGCGCTCATGGTACACACGCTGGACCGTTTTATCAGCTCGCACGTACTGAGGATCACACTGCCCTCCGGAATTACGGCCGCGCTCAAAGGAAACGCACGTTCCATGTCCGGAAATACGTTGGATATTAACTTATCTCGGGCCATAGGAGAAGGTAATTCAACGGCATAGATTTCGTAATTCGATATGAAACGCATTTTAATTTTTTAAAATAATATGTTTAAATAATTAACTTATAACAATCACAACATTGCGGCGTAAAAAAATATTTCGATGCAATTGATATCTAATTAATTTTTCAATTTTGGTGACTATAGTGTAAACTTTTTCTTATTATGAAAAATAATAGACTGCCAAGTGTTCTTGATGGATCATATTATAATGTTCTAAAATATACCAACATTCTTAGAATATACTTTAATTACCGTATTCTACCCGGGTTTGAGTATGATAAACGTGCCATGGTTGCACAGTTTTTAAAAGTCAAATTTCAATCCATACCGTTATCGGTCGGTGATGTGCGGGTCAGAAAAGAATTTTAAGTTAATTGAAATGGGATCCGTGAAAGTCGTATAGGTCAAAACGCCATAATCGCTCACTGGATGTATAATTAAATTTCATTCTTGTAAACTTTTCGGTATGCATCGTAGACACTACATTTTTTTCTGTATTATTTTCTTCTTTCGCTATCACTTGTACTATTATGAAGTAATTATGGCATGATATCTGACCTGGATGCGACTTTTACAGGCCACCGATCACATAAATTACCATTAAAATGTAGGTAGCCCGGAGTTTTATAATTACTGTATTTATACGTAGTCACTTGATTACTATATAATCATACATAGTAAATAAGTATCTAGATAGAACTTCAAATAAAACTCATACATTTAGCCAACACCCCGGAACGTGTCGAATCGATAGTTGTTGAATTTTTGATAAAATGTCAATTGTTCAAATATATCTGACTGTGGCATCATCGACATCACAACATCGATTCTAGTTTATACGTCAAGGTGGAGGGGTTACCGAATAAAACATAAAACCATACATATTTTGCGACGGAATCCTTTTGAATTGTAGCAGTCGAACGATGTAAAATAAAGAACATAGGTGTACAATAAACTCGTGGCTTATACAAACTTCCCAACAATTACTTCTGTTTTCTTAAACTCTCCTAAAGAATTAAAAGCTTGACTGCAATATGTAAAACAGACATGTGCTGTAAGTTTTACTAGTAAAATGTTATAATATGTATATATATATGGCAAAATCAATACTCATTTAATACAATACGCTCAAATTTAAATAAATGCACAATAATAAAAATATAGTACTTAGTATGTCATATTGACGAAATATAGTCCAAAAATAAGATCCCATCTAATACATATTTCATATTTGATTTATGTTGAATAAGGATCGATTACAATTTTACAAGCATATATGAATGATATCCAATATCTTATTGAGTAATTCATATAACAATTTATAATATTACATCTTAAGCATCTTTTTTTTTTTTTTTTTTTTTTGATTAATTTTTATCATAAATTTGTAAACTAAATTATTATTATCATTATTATTATTATCGTAATGAATCATTTGTTCATAATGTTTGTGTTTATGCAGGAAGAGGAAAAGGCAAAAAGCACAAGAAAATGTTGCACATGATGATGATGGGACTAATGGGTAAGATGGCACTCATGGGTCCGCTTATGATGCTGATTATTAAGATCAAAGCCATAAAAGCGCTGTTTTTAAGTAAGCTCGCTCTGCTGATGAGTATGGCGCAGTTGATGAAAGGCAAGAAAAGCGGTGGCGGAGGATCCGGTAAGTGCATGGAAGGTCGTTTATGATAAAACGGCAAAACTGATAAATGGGTTGAACTGTCTTTCAGGTAAAGAAGTGATTATTGTCCATGACAGTCACGGAGGAGGTGGTGGCGCCGAATATGGTGCAGGGACCGCGGCCGGGTGGGTTTCCGGTCACACCGCAACCGGATGGTCGACAGGTGGTGGTGCTGATAGTTACTCCGCGGGATCGCACATCGGTGGAGGTGACAACACGTACTCCGGAGGACAAGACTCTTACTCTTCAGGTAAAAAATGAAAAAACCCAACTATTTGATTTCTGCGCAAAATATGTGTTTGTTCTGTATCGATATCAGTTCGTTTTCCAAACAAAAATACTTACTCATGCTTAATTTCTTTGCAGCTTACATGACTTTCGAGTCAGATCAGTCTTATCATTCTGTATAATGCAAAGCGAATAATATTTGACATTACGATAACTTTTTGATCAATCGATGTAGGAGGAAATAGGGATAAGTTGTTCCTTCGAACATTTTCAAGTCGTTAATGTATTTTAAAGGTATAATTTATTCCCATTATTTTTAAATACTTGAAAATATTGGTATTTTTTTTTCCCAAATTTTCCGATAATTTTTCTTAAATATACAATATATTAATCGTATAAAATCATATTCGTCTTATACCGAGAAACATGCGAAGGGTTAAGATGCGTGTTAGGTTGAGCTCGTCCGACAAAATCAGGAAACCGAATTAAAAATATAAACGGGTTTCGATCGTGCTTTCGAGTGATCGAAGAGAACGAGTACGCGAGCTGACAGAAACGGGAGATCATGTACACATAAAACCTCATTTACATTCAGCCCGTTTTCGTGGCAGTGAGCAGGGAACTGGGCATGGAAGTGGGCAGCACGAGTATGCGAACACGTCACTCGCGCTGATCATGCCCCTCGCATTGTCACTGGCCGCCGCTACCGTTAGGAGCGGTAAATTGGGCAGTGCGAGCAGCAGGTTAACCGACAGCGTGATATTAGCACACATTAACAGGGCAATGTAGACGCTCACTACCTGCGACGCTGCCACTGAAGTATTTTGACAACGAAATACAGCAGCGCGAGGAACAGCGGCAATGGCTGAATGTAAATGGGGTATAAGGATGAAGTTTACCGTTCATCGGGCGTACTCACGCCGAGCGCATTTTTTTTTTTTTTTTTTTGTTGACCACAGGCGCCGGAGTCGCGAGCGGTTGGGCGGGCGTCAACGGGCACGGCGGAAGCGGTTGGGCAAGAAAGTCGATGGTCCACGAGCCGCATTGGGTGGCCTACAGGGCTTACATCCCGACGCCGGAAGACGATCACGCCAGCGAAAAATAGACCCGACGAAATCTCCAGACCAAACGCACACAATGTATTATTTCGTAATGCGCATACAATTAGTATACGTACCGTTTGTAATATACCGTATAACAATGTACACACGTGTAATACGTAGATGCATATACGTATTCGCATTCTATAGATATATATATATATATATATATATATATATATGTATGTGTGTGTATGTATGTGCGTGTATGTGTGCGTATGTGTACGTGCTAAATTATTATTTAAACGTGGTTGTATTAAACATTAGGTACATAAGATTCGAGAAAAACGCGCCAATCGCGGCCGTGCCGTCCGTTCAGATGCTTTTGGACGGCGCGAACGGGGTCCAATTATTGTCGACATAATACACCGATTTGTTGTGAGACCGGTTCGAAACGTTAATATCATATTATTTACGAGATCGCGCGCAATAAGTGAACACCGTCGTCCGGTCGTTTCTGTTCAATCGATTATAATATAAAAGTTTCTTTTTTGCCGTAATAATGTTATATATACACGTATAAATACTATTTATTATTATTATTATTATTATTTTATTTTTATTTTTATATCGTTACTCCGTTAATTTATTTGTAAATAATCTATTTATATTTTTTCGATATTATTATTATTATTATTATTATTATTTATTAAAGTAAACTATACACATCGTGAAAATTACGAGCTCAATTTTTGTTTTGTTATTAGTTTTTTTTTTTTTTTTTTTCGATATCCATTAACACTTCGTACAATAGTGTGGTCGCGCATGTGGTCAATAGATGCACAGACCGTGTTTTTGAAGCACGTGCGACAAATTGTATTTCAAAACAGCGTTTATACTTTTTATTTTTCTTTTATTTTAAAACACGCACAGAAAATAGCAAAATGATTTATCGTCGATTGAGATTTATTTGTACATACATATAAGCATTTAATAGATTACTTTAATATTGCTCGTCGTGTATCAAATTTTTCATTACTTCGTATTAAACTGCAGTGATTTCTCTTCAATATGGATATACATTGGTTTTAAACTACTCGTCGTTAAAACAGTATAACATTCCAACACACATTCTGTGGTATACTTTTAAGCTATATTGGAAAAGCAATTTTCTGTTAAACCAAAAAAATCATTTTCGCTATTAATAACCACTTAAAACATATTATAATAGTAGTAAAAAAAAAAAAATAAGTAGCTATTATATTAATGAAAAATATAGGTAAAATAACACATATTTTTAACTCTCATAATACACAAGGAAAAAAACTGAACTTGACAACCTATATTCAATACGCTACAACAATAGCGTATATTTTACTATTATTTTGTGAGACTGGAAGAATGTAAGTTTTTTTATTTACCTTATTTAGTAACTCTCTCACACAGTCACACAATACGTATTAATATATCAAAACAATACAATTATTATGAAATAATCGATTTATAATTATTATTAATTTACACAATTATACGCACTCAACAAAACATTGTAACTGTAATAGAAATAATAAATCATATACAGACTTGCTATGACACTGTAACATGATTATAGATATTTTGAATTATATCTAGCACTTATTATATAAAACAATATATTTACATGATTTAAATTTAACAATAGCAAACTATTCTTTCGAATATACTCATGTTATGTTATTTGAATAAAAGTTTGATTAATGTATACATGTATTATAATATATATTCATATAAATCTGAAATCTCATATAGATGTTGAAAATTGTCTAAATTCGTGTAACCAGGTATCGCAGTTACATAGTTATACTTCTTATGTTAAATTATTATGATTTAAAATCAAGCTTTGAATACACTATTATGATGCGATGTATATTATGATAATAATTGAAAAGAAAGCACGATAGGACTGATTTGTAATTTTTATTTATAATTTCTTTATGTCAAGAAAACAATTTCAAAATATTATTGATGAATAACGGGGAAATTAATTTTTTATATATAAAAAAAAAAAAATACTTTGACGAATAAGACAAGAAATTAATACAATAATAATATTATAATAATTAAAGCCCGAATTTATATGCAAAAATATTATTGAATATGCAGATATTTATATACACGAAAATTCAAAAATATGCACATTCTTTTTAAGTGTAAAAACCATCGTTCCTAATAGGTGTACTTCATCGTATAAACTATTACAATTTACCATTATATAAAAATTAAGGAATAAGTAATAATTTATTAAATATATAAATTCAAAACTAACAGCAAAAAAAATATTAATTTTTGACCAAATAAGCACGGAACTACAAAATATGATTTTACATTTTTAAAATAGAAACTTTTATGGTTGTCGTACATAGCACGTTGTACGTGTTGTTTACATTGTTCTATGTAGCATACATTTATACATTAATTATATTAAAATTTCATTCTACGTCACAAGAAATTATTAGCGTTTATTTAGAATAAGATAAGTCCTCAGGTTACTATACTACAATACCTAAATTTTCGTCATTTTTTTCGTTATAAAATTTTTTAATTATTTATAAAATTTGCATTTTTACGCAGCTATATGGAAATATCTAATTAATTATTATTTTCACTCAAAAATAAAAAATATGCAAAAAAAATTATCCATAGGAATCCGTATAGGGCGAGACGTCAAAATTTGTAATTAATATTATTTCTAAGTGAATTATAAATGAATATGCATTTACATAAAAATTCGGGCTCTAATAATGATAAAAAAAAAAAAAAAAACAGATAATTTTAAAAATATTTATCCAATAATCCAATGATTATGAATTTTGTGTAAATACTATTATAATAATATTTATGTTAACTAGTTTGCATAGTTGCCTGATTGTTTTTTTTTTTTACTAATAATAGTAACAGTTTAATAGTTTAATCATATTGCATTCAATAAAGGTCATACGATAAAAATATAATAATAATAAAAAAAATTAATAATATAATATTTTTTATGCAGAATATTTCAGCCTAATAAATATTATATGTAATTAATTAGTAGCTGTTTGATTTTCAGTAGTTCCAAGCTCGGTATAGATTACACCTGTAGTGTAACTTAAAGTCCATCAATTTTAAAACGATATTTACTATACCAAAAATAATATAAACAAGTTTTTACTTTATAAACTTTGTAGTTAATATCGAATATCAATATTTATGCAGTACTACCCATGTAAGTAAATAAGTGAATATTGACGTTTTGTACAGTAATATTTTGCATGCGCACGCAGACACGAATCAAACGATAACGTATATAATATACGCATCGCACGTATTTGTTTTAAACATTACAAATGGGTTGTACCTATATAGCTGTAAAGTTAAAAAAAAAAACAAAAAAAAAAAAAAATAATATGGAATAAAAAGTTTTTATCAGTTTTTTTAATTAGACAATTAGACAATATTAACTATAAAAAACGAAATAAGTAACGGTGGTGGGACGGTTTTAAACGACGTTGATTTTACTACCATATATATATATTTGAACGTTTATTTTTGTGTACATAGTCAATTACACCTAAGCGCAATCACGTGACTCTATATTATATACACAAATATATATTACACGACTACATAGGTATATATATTTTTACGCGATTGTCGAACAGCTGTTTGTGTTAACGTGCGTATGAGTGTATGTGTGCACACGCGTGCGTGCGCGTGCACTTTATGTACACTACCCGGTCGGAAAAGGATAAACACGTAAGGTCTAACCCTTATGTTCAGCCCACCCCACTGTTTAATGTCGACCATTTTTTTTTTTTTTGTTTTTTAAATGCTCCGGACGTGCATATATATATATATATATTCACGATATTATATCGTTGCGAGCGGCTAGCACGCGTTCGAACTTCGGCACACTGCGCGCGTGCCACACCATCTAACAGCGGTTACGTACATCGTAAACGACTTTGCCGGTCAGTCGCGGACGTGGACGAGTGCGGTCCGTACCGGCGTCCGATCGGTTCCGACTGGGCTTTTGCATGCGTGTTCGTCGTTTTCGTTGACGTTTAAAAGAAAGAAAATAATGAGAAAGAGCTGGAGAAAAGTAAGTGAGCGCATCCGTACGTTTGCCAAGTTTTTTCTGTCACGTTCGTTGACTTATCTATTGTTGACCGCCACCCGGGTGGTTTTTATTTTTTATTTATTTATTTATTTATTTTTTTTACAGTCATACAGTAGCGTAGCATATCATACCGCTTACGAAACCGTAGTCGACGTGGTCGTTATTAGTACCGACCGACGTTGTTACGGTACACGTTTGACGTGGTTGTTCGCGCTTTAAACTTGCGACAGTCGTTTTTTTGTAGCCGCACACGCGTTTCCATCATAATATCAAGAGATTAAAGCGGAAAACGTTTACGTTTACAATTTACATCCATCTGGTTTACGAGCTACCCGCGTCGACGGCAGAGAGTCGTTCACATCGCTGTAATCGCAACGTATATCACCAACGGTTATTCGTTTACCGGTGTACTCGCGTGACGATCACGTTCACGGTGGATCATCTCTGCGTGGACGTCACTTAGGAGTAGATCGCATTCGAAAACAATGTCGACGACCGGCACTGCTGAAGACCGTCGGGATACCATCGCTGCGATCGACCGCTTTTAACGACCCGGACCGTTGTGGCCGGACGGACGGCCCGTTATGAATATTCGAGGAGCGGCCGGTGGCAGCGGCGGCGGAAATTCGCCCCCCGACCCCGGGTATTCGGCTGCTCTGGTGGACGTGGGCCGGAAAATGTTGGCCATGGAGGGCGTGCAGCCGGCGATCAGGACCGGGCCGTCGCCGGTCGCGCACAACGGCCGCTATTGGACGCCGGATCGGCGCCGGGAGAACGCCGAGACCGTCCGGTACATCCGGTGCCTGGTGCAGACTTGCGAGACCATCAAACCGTGGACGGCCGGAAATCGCGGACAGGCGTCGTCGTCGGCCACGCCACGGGCCAAGATCACGATGGACCAGTTGCCGCGAATAATGCAAAAGGTTAGTTCGGTTAATACGTTTTCCGGTTACGGTTACGGTCACGTGATTTATTCGTTCCCTGTTCAAACGTAAACCTCGGTGAACCGCCTAAAAAAAACGCGGTGTAGATATAACAAAACAAAATACGGCAACCATGTACCGACCATGAACGTGTTTTCGATGAAATATTTTATAAATTCCATTTTGCGATCTCTTTAATTTTTCTTCCATCGAATAGACATTTATGAAAAACCAAAAGGTATAACACAAATTATGTATTCCTACGATAACGTATGAAAAGCAAACATTATTATCGTTACCTCGAACAGTTCTTAAAATGCTACTTTATAGTAACCGAGTGGTCGTTGAGTGTTTTTTTTATTTTTATTTTGATTCAGCTATACGTTGCGATTTCGAAACGTGGGTTCTTGGAAAATCACCAAAATTAATCATTAAAAAAAAAAAAAAGCAGCATCATAGACGATATTTTCGCACCGATCAACTATTGATAATACTCAAGTGTTAAAGAAAATAATAATAATTATAATGAATGAAAATGTAATTTACGTAATACGGAAAGTCTATTAATGTGAATTCGCCGTGAAAGTGTGCAAGTAACTAAATTCAAGTGAAATATAACTACCCGTATAATAATCATAAATTATTATTTCGATATCGTACAGCAAATAAGCGTTCTCGAGTTAGTTTTCAAAACGGTATGAAAAAGTGATGATAATGAGTATATCATAATGTATTAGATTGCAATACCTATGTATAATATTTACACTATTTTAGTTGGACCAATTATTATTCCGATTCTCAACGTAATATTATAAATGCGATGAAAAACAATGAGTTACGTTGAAACGTTTCGTTCTCACGTGTGTCATTCGTATTAATATGCGCATTCGAAAATCTTCAACTATATTAATTCAAACACTACCGTTCTGATGTGGTCAATTCTAATTTCAAATTGATTTTATGTAACGGGTAAATGCATGTTTTCAGTACAAAACAAGAAATTTATCATGATTGTAGTTTTCTGAAAATTACAATAAAACAGAAGAAATAACCTTTTATTTCCTCGTAACTACTTACAAAACCGTTTCGAAGAAGTTAGCCTAAAATCTTTATCATCGTCATGCAACGTTAAAAATAGTAATTGCTTTTATTTGCATTAAAATCGCGCGCCCACTGCATAAATTAAAACGTTTCAATGTCATGAACAATGTATATCTTATATAAGCCATCGTGATATATGGGGTAGTTATATAATATTCTACTACTCACAACTTAAGGTTATTTGTGAATTAAAAAAATATTTTACATTACTTTAGATTTTATATAATTGAAACAAGTATATTATTGGATAATTTTAATTTACATTATATTAAATAACTATTCTATTATCTTATTTTGAAGAATGAAAATCATAAATATGTAAATACTTCGTTTGAAAATTTTAATTGTAGGTGATTGATGATTCATTAGAATAGCTATAGGTTAGTCGATAAGTAATAAAACAAAACAATATAAACGACTTGTGTGTGTTACAAAGAAGAACGAACATTTTGAAAATATAATATATTATATAATAGAAGATAATATAAATACGTTGAGCAGACAATAAATAAAATCATACTGTAACTTCAATACTTTCACGTAAATCAACGAGAAGCATGCATTAAGTTTGTGTGTAGTCGGTGGAATCGCGTGCTCTAACAGAGTATAAGACTTCATATTTTGCGCGGTTGTAGGTCTCCAGAGGAGCAAAAACTATACCCGCAGAATAATAATATAATTTGATATGGCCATTGTTATTATATATTCTCGTCTACCGCAGTAGTGTAATTATCGAACTCGTATACCTATCACTAGGGAAGCGTTTTCGAGTGGGCCTGAACGATTCGATGTGTTCGCGTTCCTCGCGGTTGCGAGTCTCGGAGGGATGGCGTGTCGGAACCGCTTTAACCAAATCGTGTTATTATACGACACTCCGGGTGGTTCGTCGTTATCCGTTTTACCGCAATCTATCCTTATCTACCGTACGCAGGTGCGGGTCACGGTGAACATGGGTCCATGGGGTAGGGGGTAGATGGAACATTGAAGTCGATAAATCACGCGGAGCGCGCGCACGCGTCAGTTCCTCGACACGTTACGTTACGTACGCGCACGGTATGACGTACACGTGCTTTGCGTTACTCGTCGAATTTGCATACGTACGTACATATTTCATATAGGGGTGAAGGGTTGGGTAGGTATTCATGACCGAAGGTAATACATGTATATGTACGACGGGGTAAAAACGCACCAGACGCACCATAAAAAGGGGTGGAAAAATACCATGATCTATGATACACCCCCGATGCAGCGTATTTCAGTTACGTCTACTCCAGTGATATAATTATTACATTATTATTATATTTTTTTTTTTTCAAGGCCTTTAAGACCAGTATCGTCACAATTTTTTGTGAGGTCCTAGGCGAAAGCAGTAACATTTTTTACACCTAAATAATCGAATTCTACCAATTGTGGGCCTTCGGATTTATTTAAGTTTGAGGTCCTAGGCAATTGCCTATGTTGCCTGACCGCTAGTTAACGGAACTGTTTATGACCACTTTTAAGACTATCTCGTCTGTATTACAAATCCTTTTTTATTCTTTTTTATTCTCCGTTACCTATTTTCAGTCCTGGTCAATATCATTGCCTCCTCTGGCTCTTATGAAATATTTTCTCATATCTTCCCAACCTAGCATTGACTTCCTTTATAAGTTTAACATGTATTGTATATATCAGGGATGGGCAACTGGTGCTCCGCGAGCCACATCCGATCCGCGTACATTTTTTATCTGGCCCGTGCTCCATTTTCAAATTATTTCATAACATTTCACCGTTTATCGGTATTTCATTTTATCACTTTGAACGTAATATATTAGGTTTTTCTCTATAACTGAATTGTAGCTAATTTATTAAATGTATGAATATAATATATGTATATTGACATAGCTAACATAGCTATAGGTATTGGGTAAGTATTGTATTGGTTTATTCGTTAAATTAAATTATATAAAGTAAATGGTGTTTGTCAATTTTAATGACTATTTTTTATTTTTTGCTTTTTTTTACTTCGGCCCGCCAGATTTCAAAACGCTATAAATTGGCCTTTGATTTGCTCATCCCAAATGTGCATTATAGCAGGGGTCTCTAAACTACAGCCCGCGAAAAAGTTTTAACCGGCCCGTGGCCCGCATAGGACGCATAGATAAATATAGATATATAAAATATATAAAATATAAGATAGGTATGTGTAATTCAGAAAATCGTTATCGCGGGCACGTATCATAATAATTTATGAACTGAAATTATTTTATCTATTTATTTATTTTATTTATAATTTATAAACGCCAAACGGCAATTTTAAGTTACAGATTGAGTATAAGTTTAAAATTAATAGATATAATAATAATAGTAAAAATACACACAAAAACAGAACATATGGAAACACAACATAATATAAACTAAGTAATACCTTAATTTAATAATATAAAACTATATTTAAATACATATTAAAATCAAAATTAAGATGGTTTAGATTGCGAAGCATTCTATGCAAGGGTTGATTATGTCCACATAATGTATTGTGAGTTGGAACTTGGAAAAGTGAGTGATTTCTGTAAAAGAAGGAAGAGATACGAAAACCTATGTTAGAAAGGAGATCGGGTGCATCCATGGTGCCAAATAGGAGCGAGGTTATAAAGTGCTCATCAGCATTTTGTCGACGAGTTGACAGCATTGATATTCCCAATGTACTACGTAATAAGGAATAGTCATGTGTAGGGTAAGGTATCTTCATTATGTAGGCAATGTAAGAAAAAAAAAACTATTTTGTACGCGCTCGAGTCTTAATTCATCTTTAGCTAAGTAGGGATGCCTTACTACCACTCCGTATTCTAATATTGAACGTACTAATGAGAAGTATAATGTGCAGAGACAACGAGCAGAAGAAAACTGTTTAGTATTGCGTTTAATAAAACCCAATACTTTTAAAGCTTTACCTACAGTGACATTTATATGGTGCTTAAAATTTAATGATGGTTTATAATGAATACCAAGATTTTTATAGAGGGAAACACGGTTAAGAGAAGTGTCATTAAGAGAATAGTTGTGGTGAATAGAAGATCGCTGTCTAGAAAACGACATGACATGACATTTGTTTATATTAAGGCTAAGACCAATGGAGTTCGCCCAACTTGTAAAAATATCGAGTTCAGATTGAAGGATATAACATTGATTAAGATTGTCTATTTTAAGAATGATTTTTATGTCATCAGCAAAAAGAAGAAGTTTAGCCTTTGTGATCCATTTGGTTATTGAGTTAATGAACAGAATAAATAAAAAAAGGACTAAGGCGATCACAAAACATATGAACGACTTCAATCTCAAATTATAAGGTAGAGGTGTTCTTATTTGCGATACTTACACATTAGTAAAAGCTTAAAATTTATTTGAAATACAAATTTCAAAATATTGTTTTACTCATTTTTTTATTTGCGATATATATAATAAAGAATATAAAACACAATTTCCAATCGAATTTGCTCAAAAAATAATTTCTGAACTTAAAATTAAATTTAAATAACGTTCTTCTGACTTTGACGTAAAATCTGAAGATATATATATCTTTCAAAATCCGTTTTTTGTGATATTGAGAAGTTACCTCTTACACTTCAAATGGAAATGATTGATTTGTAATGTAACGATGCACTGAAAATATAACATCGCGAAGAGACTTTAGTTGATTTTAATAAATTTCTACCAGATATACAATATCCAAATTAAAAAAAAATTGCTATTGATTATATCTCTGTATTTACTACAACTTATTTGTGTGAACAAAATTTTTCCAAAATGAAATACATCAAATCAAAATATAGATAATATAGATCGGCCATGATGGACAAACATTTGGAAGCAATTTTGAAAATCGGAACTAGTGACATACAACCTCAATTCCATATAATATTGGCAGAAAAACATCAATTTCATAATTCTCATTAATAAAAAAATTATTTCAAAAATTTATTTATCTTATATTTATATTTGTTTTTATTTAAGTATATTTTAAAGTAAACAATATTTTATAAAAAAATGTAAACATATTTATTTACCTATATTTTCATGAAATTAAACATTATATGTGTTAATAAACTTTTGGACCACTAAATGCATTTGATTTTTTTTGTGGCCCTTGAATAAAAAAAGTTTAGAGACCCCTGCATTATACCATCGTTGAAATTCAATATGTTACAATAACATTACATACGTAAGTGTTCACTGGTGATAGGATACGAGTTTAGTGATAAATCATTAAGTCGAATGACTTAATGTTGTATAAAATTTAAATCCAAATCCCACCCGAATACTCTACAGTGGAAGGCTTCATTGTCACTTCGAAGAAATAAAAAAAAGAAAAGGAAACATTAGGTGCAATGTATTATCGTTTTTTATAACAAACGAGAACTTTTTTACTTTTTGCACTTGGCGATTATACATTTTTCAATTTTTCAAATGAACGTAAAGTGACAATTTACAGTGTAAACGATCCAACACGTGTTGCAATAATAATGATAAATTATTACACAATATAATTGTGATTAACAATCGGTATCGTTTTCATCTGCGCAGATACTCGGAAACAAAATTCGGAACAACAGGGATCATAAATTCGTCAATAACTGGACGCCAAGTCATTTTGTCAACGACTGTCTGTTTTGGCACAACTTCTACAGGCACTTTCATCGCTCGTCCGACTTGGTATTGAGCGCGCACGTGAGTCGATCGGTGGGGGCATCGTACATGGGTGACAGCGGCGGCGGTCTATGTGCATTAAATTTGCACGCCGCCTTATAATAATATTATTATATAGTGTTGACAATAGGTCGATGAATGGTATTTGATAAATGCACTTAATTGTGTGGTCGAAATTTATCGCACGTGACCCTTTGACCAACTCACCTTTCGATAATTGCAGCAGAAATGTATACATTATCTCTAATCAGAACGTTGGAATAAAAATATAAATTTTTATTTTTTATCGAATTACGAACATTTGCGGTGCAATGTGAAAAAAATATCGGTACCTATATACTTTTACTATTTGATATTTTTGATTTCTGAATCAAAATTTCAGTGTTTATACTTATTTCAAAACTTATTAAAATCCATAAATAAATAAGTATATATTATTATAATTATTATTATTATTATTATTATTATTTATTGTTATTATTTAGTGTTCATTAATATATATTATGATTGATAATTAATTACATTTTTGACGTTGCCCAAAATGTTTTCAATTTTTTTTTTTTCGACTTTTGAGCATTAAAACTAATTATAAGATCATATTGCATCCAGATTTCTATGTAATAACGATAATATCTAATTACAAAATTAATGTCTTAGTTAAAATAATGGCAGAATACCAACGATATCGTCCAACACGGACGCACATTCGAATTGCCTATGTTTAACGCCGTTTTACTCAATAAAAAAAAAAACAAATTTTTTACAAATCTCCTAGTTATTACTTCATTTATTTAACATAGCGGAACTCCTTACTTATTATTAATTTATTATTCAAATTGAATATTACTTTTCAAATCATTTTTTATATTTTTAATTTTAATTATTTATATTAACTTAAGTATTCACATGACATAACTTTTTTTAAATAATAGCACCGCTTATACTATTTCTTTTGAAGAGTTGTATAAGCTCATCATAGTATATTTATCAAATAACAACGATTATATAGTATTTTTATGAGTGTTGTGGAAATGAGAATATTTTGATGAACGAGTGAAGTGACAAGAGAAGATAGAATAAGAAACGAATATGTGAGTGGTAGTATTGATGTAGCGACTATAGTGAACAAGATGAGAGAAAATAGACCAAGCTGGTTTGGGCTTGTGATGAGACGAGAGGAAAAAAATGCAGTAAGAGTTTTTATGAAAACTAACGGTGAAAGAAAAAAATGAAGAGAAATACCACAAAAGAGATGATTTGATACGTTTGAGATTGATACGAAGGCTGTTGGTGTGTGCGTAGGAGATGTAGAAAATTTAGACAAGTGAAGGCTTAGGACAAAGTTTGCCGACCTTAAATAGTTGTGAGAAAAGTGAAGGAAAGAAGAAGAATAACAAAAACAACAATTTTATTTTAATACACTGAAGCATAATCATTTTAATCTTTGACTGCATGTAAACTCCTACACACATGACCTTTTTACCTGAATTTAAAACATAGTGTAATCCCATACACAGATCCTTTTTACCTGTCAATAAAATATGGTAAAACTCCTACATAGACTTTTTTTTAGATAGAGGTTAAAGCTAGATGACATAAACACCAAACACTTAAAAATATTGTGTCACATAATATGATGCTCTATCATTATCGAGGTGGTGTAATATGTATTTTACTCATATCTCATAATATTAATTTTATTCGTTTCATTGTTCATTATATACATTCGTGTGTATTCATAATGAACATTTTATTCAGTGCAGTAGACATTTATACTTGTATAAACACCTGTCATTTTGACGTACTTTTTCGAGATCGTATAGAAGATTCTTGGACAAACGATAACGTATAAAATTACGCCGTATAATCAGTGTGTATTTTGTGTCCATTCTTTGCGTCAGTAGTATTTTTGTAAAATAATAATAAAATAATAATTACAATTGATTTTAGGTACAGTTAAAAATGGTAAAAAACTTTTATTATTAAATAACATTATTGCATAAAAAAAATTATATAATTACATGATTTTGTAATTGAGCTTTATCTTATTTTTAAAATAATAAGACTGATTTTCTTTTTATTTGGATTATAAAATAAAGGATGTTTTAGTAAAATATATTTATTTTTAGTAATTAATAAATATTTAGTAATTAAGATTTTTGTAACTTAAGTGTAGGAGTTAACACTAAATGTGTAGAAGTTAGCACTATATCCATATAGGAGACCTATTATTTATTTTTGATTTTTAGTCTTTGATTTGAGCCTCAGTATAAAATTATAACTTAAATTTCGTAGATTCTGAATGAAATGGAGAAAATAATTGATAAACCCTACTGTTTTTTTCTTTTTTTTTTTGTGTAAATGATTTCGACCAGAATAATTACTTCAATTATTACAACTAAAAGAGAATTCCAATATAAAATGTTATTTGATTGTTACTTTAATGTAGATAATATTATCAGTTTGCCTTATGATTATGATAAATCGATGAAAAGTTATTAAAAATAGCCTAACCTTCATTTAACTATTTACAGATTAGTGAAAAGATTTGAGCTTAAATATAAACACAAAAAAGAAAAAAACAATGTTTTGAGTATAAACTACTAACAAAATGAATAAAATTATAAGAATCCTCTATATTTTTATAGCAAAAATTCTTTACAAAATTCAATTGGAAACTGGATAAAAGCCTTTTATAAGATTTCCTCTGTGGTTAAAAAATTAATTTTCTAAAGAGTCTCAAACACTTTATATAAGCATTGCAAAATTCAATTTTGAAGAAATTGGATAATGCCATTAAACGATATTAGTTATTTAGTTAAATATATTTCGTATTTTCGAAGTATTACAATAAAAATTGTGCTATATATAGATACTGAAATAAGTAAATTTTCCCACAATTTAGATATATTTTTCTTATAAATGTTAGAGCATTAAAACTCAGTTTTCAACTGAATTAATTAAGAAAATTGGTTCTTTTACTGTTTCAAACCATATATATAAATATAAACTGATCCACTCGACCTGTTTTTTTTTTTTTTTAGTTTCAAGTTTAAAATACCGATATTGAAATACCATTCATCTATCCCTGTATCTTGTCCTATCATAAAGTTACAACCCAACTTAAAAAATTTGCTCTTTTAATTCACAAAAAAACAAAATATTAACTTATTAACATTGAAAGTTTAAAAATTATTATTTTTTATTTTTTTTTGTACTTAAAACTTTTAATGGTTTATTGAGTCTTTGAATAAAATAGAAATATATTGTTTTAGTTGTGCGAAGAAGCACAAAACTGGGCAAATAATTTGGCACATACTGAAACGTTCGCCTATCAAAACAAAATCAACTACGGTCAAAATCTATTCTGCAGAAAACTAACAGATAGGACAGTCGAAATCGAAGGTAAGACTAAATTATACTATATACTTCAGGAATCGCATCACAAATATAGATGTGGTACGGTCTGAAAAAATAAATCTTGGATATTAAACTTTGTAGATACTTTACGTTTTTTAATCAAATATCAATACTATGTAGTAATCGCAAAAATTCAGAGTTTTTCAATATATTATTAGGTCATTGATTTATTTTAAATAATTTCAGGGAAAGATGTGGTTCGCGAGTGGTATTCGTCTTCAAAAGTGTATAAGCCAAGGAAGAACCCGAGAATGTACTCGGCAAACATAAATTCGGGTAATCGTCGCAATTCGGTTATCATGTATACTTGTGTGTGTATAGTGTGTTTGTGTGTATGTGTGTCGATGTGAGTGTGAAATAACATACAATTTAGGTTTATTTTTATTTTTGTTTTCTTTTGCAGGTCCTTTCACGCAACTCGTTTGGTCAAACACGAAAGAGTTGGGCGTCGGGAAAGCGTGCAGCCGTTCGGGCAGGATGATCGTAGTGGCCAATTACCATCCGAAAGGCAACGTGAACGGACAGTATGCCAACAACGTGCACATGAATCAATATTTCTTACCTGTAAACAAAAAAAAATTAGAAATAATCACGAGACACTGAGAAAAACAGATCGTTTGGGCGGATATACCAACAATACCCGTTCTCTGGTAGCCGGGTCTTTTTTTATTATTCTGTACTTTTTTCCGCTGCTCGTTTGGAGATTGAATTCGGTGCGTACAATAATGCGGAAAACTATTTTATGTTTCCATCTCACCGATTCGACTTTATTGACTGCAATATTCGAGATACTGTTGGACGAAAATCAATTACAACAATATGTATGTGTGGACGCTTTTATTACAATAGGTTGTTGTCTATGCGGTTTTACAATGATGATTTTCGTTTCAATATTTACACGTGTCAATACGAAAATTGATTGCTGGTCACCGCAATTCTAATGAAATGCACGGCTAATACGTACAGCAAAGACACAATCAAGTTCATAAAATAATATGTCGTGTTAATATGAAAAAAAAAAACTTAATCGAATTTTATTATAATTATATAATCATCATTATATGACTGGTTCAAACATTCAACTATTGTACACACGGAAATTGTATATTTATTTATTTATTTATTTATTTAATTAATATACGCCATACAGCTTTTAATACAATTTAAATAATGATACTATTTTGAAATGTATACAATTAAATGGGTAATATATGATAAACAGTTATTGAGTAGTTGACAAAAATGAAGAAAAAAATAACAATTTACCTATAAAAAGAGAAGAAGGGGTCCGAGTATGCTTTTTGCATGCAACGAAAAGGTTGGTTAACTGAATAATTTGTTTGAGTTGTTGGGATATGGAAAGGAACAGAATGACGCATGAGACGAGATGGGGCTTTAAAGTTAAGTTGTATTAATAAAGAGGATGAGTCAATTTTTCCATTGAGTAAATTTTGTAGGAATAATAAATTAGCAGCATGCCTACGGTCGGCTAAAGAACTTAGATTTAAGTGTGATAATACAGGAGCGTAATTATGGAGGGGGCAATCAATGTTTTGTACGTAACTGACAAACCTCAAGAATTTTCTTTGAACTTTTTCAAGTTGAAGAGAGGCTGAAACACTATTAGGATCCCAAAAGACTGAACCGTATTCCAGAATAGGTCTTACTAGTTCGCAATATAAAGCCTTAAGGGGTGTTGATAATTTAAAAAACGCTGAAATACGCATAATAAAACCTAGTGTTTTAAGTCCTTTGCAGCATATATTATCAATGTGTAAATTAGGATTAAGAGTAGGAGTAAGAATAAATCCTAAACCACGTACTGAACAATTAACAGAAGAAATGGAGTTATTATTGATGAAGTAAGTAAATTTAAATGGATTTTTTGTGCGACCAAATGTCATAGAATGACATTTACTAATATTAAATGGTAAACCTTAAGTATTAGCCTAGAACACCAGTCTGTTTAAATCACTCTGAAGTAGGTCGTAATCATTTATTGAATTTATACGCAGAAACAATTTTATGTCATCAGCAAATGCTAAAAGTTGAGATTGTTGTAATACTTGGTTGGCACTATTAACGAAGAGGGAGATGAGCAAGGGAGATAGTAGAGGGTACGATAGTAGAAGGTGATTTAACACCATGAATCTTGACTATTTGCTTCCTATTGGAAATAAATGAGCCAATCTAAGACAGCAGAGGTTCCCCTAGACCAGAACGAGCAAGTATATATAATATAGCATAGTTATTAACCCGATCGAAGGCCTTATTGAAGTCGGTGTAGACCATGTCAACCGTAGGTATTATATATAATAATAATATGTATTACTTTTCAATCGTGCATTTTTCTATTACTATTGGTGGACAGTGTATGATTAATGTTTTCCATGTATCATATTGTTTAATATATTACTAATATGCGACTGATTGGTATTACATCAAATTGGCTCTCTACATGAAAATGGCGTGTTCAAAGTTGTCGAACGAGATACTGAATAATGTCAATTTAATTTTAAAACAAGCTAAATTGATACATTCTTAAAATTTAACCGTGCCATTCGATTCATAATTTTACCTAATTCTCGACACAACGATTATATTTTAATGTTTACGCAAAATATGTAAACAAAAACAACATTTTACTGACAACCTCGTCTCATCACCACTTCTAGATCACACTCTTATTACTTAGTATTTAATTAGAAACTTTTAATGCATTACATTTTAACGAATATTGACTTAAATTCGATTAAAATATTAAAATTTCACTCTTGCGTTGTAGCCATACACATAGCATTTAGAAAATAATCATCTAATTCGTTTGATTCTTTGTTCAACGAACTTTCGTTTTAATAAATATTATCAAAATGAAAATTAAATTAATAAATTAATAAATACGTTTCAAAAGTAGATCAGTGATCTTTTTTTAACAATGTCAATATACGAGTAGTTTCATGGCATGATGAAATATTATTATATATTTCTTATACTATACTAGATGTATACTAACGCACTGCATTTGAGTAATAAATATTAAATAACACATACATTTCCAGTTAATAACTAGTATATAATCGTTTGAATATAAATCAAATTATTCAAAATTATTTTTATTTCAGAGTATTAAAATAGAATAAAGCGTATTAAAAGTGTTATTATTATTATAACATTATCAAATTAATAAGGCTTCAACATTTGAGGTCATCAACTAAATATTTTCACGTATTTATCTCAACATTTTCAAATTAACTTCCCCTTCCACAACTAGACACGAAGGAGTAGTTATTACAAGTTCGTATTGGACACTCTCGTTTAATACATATATATCTTATAACCAAAGAAAAGCATCTAATCTCCGAGTTCTGTAACAAAAAAATTACCACAAAACACTTAATAGAATGGTCTAAATTTAGCAGTTTCAGAAAAATTTTAGGAAACCCACTTGTGATGAAACAAGCACTTCGAGAAGAAAAATCGGGAAAGATTTTCAAGTTTTTTACAAATATAGGTTAATCAAAGCTAATGTAAAAGTATTATTATTTTATTCGAATATAGAAGTTTTATTGACACTGATGTATTATGTTTGTCTCTGACTTAACTAGTTGAAAATTTAAATATAAATATAATAATCTTTTTTTCTATAAATTATATTATACTTTTTAATATTTAGGTACATATAAACATGTTCATTAATTAAATTACAATTTTTCTTATTTAATTGTAATTTAGAAATTAATCTAAGTATTCAGAACTTCATTTTGTTATTATTTGCGTTTAATTTTACTTCAGTTGTCATGTACTTATAATATATATACATTACAATTCCGTGTATAATATTTAATTAGTAAGAATACATTTATTTATTGATTATAATATTATAGTATAATAATTATTAAAATTATAATATATTATTTGATTTTTATAACGGACAATTATCTTAACATGATATTGGATTGACTTCAAGAAAATAGATGTTTTGTTAAATCATATAAATAATATAATTCAATTAATACTGTAATAATTATTAAATATATAGCAGTACATTATATTTAAATGTAAGAATAGATAAAAATAAACAGGCAATAATCAGCTGTGTATCTTAAAGTTATGTAATTACATCACACTTGTAACTTTTAAGCTAATACATTTTGTATGTAATTTGCATCAAAACTGAATGTATTTTTAAGTGATGAAAATTTAGAAGTTCAGTAACGTAGACTTATATTGTATAAAGACCAACAAGATGAATTGTTTTAATAGTGAAGATAAGAATTTATAACTGAATTTAAATATGTTTATTATATTTTTTTTTCTTTGTTTCAAGAGCGATACATATGTTTGAACTATACACAAGTAAAATTGTAAAATGTATGTTGTATAGTATGTTTTAGTAATAATGGTAGCCAAGTGGGAAAATTGTTCATTTCTCAATCGCGAATGCCTATACGTTTACATTTAATTAGTTAAAAATAATTTTTGTCCAGCATTAAATCATCGAATAAATGGTTGCGAATACTCTTGCTATAGTGTGAGTGATAAATAAAAACAAGACATGAAATACAATATGTGTAACGTGTAAATGATGGACAAATTGTTTTCAGAATACGCGTGTAATGGAACATAACGAATGCATGTTGTTAAATTATCTAAGCTTGCGCCGTCTCACAAAATCTTAGTCAAACACTGTTGCGCCGTTACGTTTTTGCCGACACGGAACTGTTGAAATGAAAAATATACTATAATATTATATGTACACTCAATGAACACTGTTAAAATATTACCACGACACCAACGAACGTTTCGTTTTTTTGGAATTCCTTCAAGTGTTAAACTATTTTGCGATTATATTGATTTAAAACCTTACGAACAAATTGATTATGATTATCATTTATTTTTACAATATTGCATTGGTCAATCTGGTTTATACGGTAATTGCTATTTTAGTAGTCGAAATATACTATAAAAAAAAAAAAAACTACCTATGTAAAACATCATAAAAATAAAAGGATTTCGTTCGGGGAGTTTACTTTATGGAAATGTGTTCTGAGAAAATAAAATAGAAAAAACCAACATTTGTCACTTCGTTCGTGATCTAAATTCAAATAAAATTAAAAACCAAATAGTTATGGATCAAAAACACGTTGTTTAATCATGGTGACTAAACCGTTATCGACTAATAAAACTGTATAATACTAATATAAAACTAGAATCGTTTTACAACGATAAAAATGGTTCCAATAACAAAGTTTTTCATATAAATAAATATAAAATGACGTGTTTATAAACAAAACAATATAGTTTCAATGTTGTAAAGATGTATTCGAGTACAGGTATTCAAATTTGCGTTGAATAAATAACAACATTATAAATGATAGTATTATAGTTCTTGAGGACCCAACGAAGGGTTCTAAGAAGGTCCAACTGTTTAGTATTGAAAACATTCGCTTTGAACACAATTGCATAACATCACGTGTGAGAGAACGCAACTATCACAATGGACGAGTGTAACTAAAGGTGAGATGGAACAAAAAAAAAAAAAAATTCAAATACGTGCATAAAGTTAAATAAATAATTATATTAAACACATAAAACTTTACTATATTATCGGTTGTACCTCTTACAGTATTTTTAACGGTTTTCGGATTCCATCAAAACGGTAAGCGACTTTTTTTTTTTTTTTTTTTTTTTATATAAAATTTAAAATAATTTAGGCGAAAATACAAAATAATACTCGGAACGCGTGTCGAAAGACGTTTTTCGACGCGGCGACGGGTGACGATGAATAAATAAAACGATGGGTTCACGTAAACAAATGTTAGCGTGTCCCGGCCGCCGGCACGTGGAGGAACACGGCGACCGCGTTCAACGGTTGTACGAGCGGCGGCGGCGACGTTCGATGGGTATGTAGATGGGCGTCTTGTCGGACGTGTGGATGCGGTACACGATGTGGTCGGGCTCCTCGTCGGACGACGGCGGCGACACGCGCTGCACGGCCGCCGAGCCGATGGACCGCCGGTACGCCGGGCCGTTCTGCGTGGCGGCCGCGTGCGCGTCGTCCGCGATCGCGTGCGAGTGCGTGTACACCGGTTTGGTGACGATCTCGTACGTGGTGCTCTTCGGCTCCGAGTGGCCGCCGCCGCCGCGGAACGACGCCAGCCCGGACAGCAGCAGCGACATGAGCGCCGTCATCAGCGCCTTGCCCGCGAGCACAGCGATCGCTTTCATGCCCAGCGCCAGCAGCATGGCACCGGTCACCCAGCCGGCCATCAGGATGGACTGCGCGTACTTCTGCTTCTTGCCCCGGCCTACGGGCGGACGGGCGAAACGGGGGTTGAGGAAAAAAAAAAAAACAAAAAACAAAATTATAAATCTTTCGAAACGCTCGGAAACAACGTATGTACATCGTTTATACGAACGTGAACGGCCCAGTGGCGCATTCAAGGGGGGGGGGAGGGCGAAAGGGGCAAATTCCCCGGGCGGAAAAACATTCCAACTTTTATTATTGATGGGTTCATGATTTTTTTTTAATTTTCACACCTTTTTCGGCATTGTTTAGCAATTTAAAAAATATTGTTGAGCATCTAATTAGAAATTAAAAAAAATTATACTATACCTAGTCACCTAGGTAATAGTGAAATAGCAAAATAGGTATATTACATTTATTATTCGATAAGATATTATATTTTCGTTCAATGTTTATTACTAAGACTCGGGTACACAGAACGTGGTATTCGCTTTAAAGCACATTTAAAAAGTTTACAAAAGGAGTAAAATTGTACCTAAAAATGTTCAATGTATGTTAGCATTTATAAAAGAGAATAGTTTAATTGAATTATATACTTATATTGATATTGGTCTAAGGATATTACTATGTAACATATGTACACCTTCAAGTAATTGTAATTTAATAATTCAATAAGTCAAATCATTTTCCACATTAAAAAGGGTCAAAACTTATTTAAGATCAACAACGGGAGAAAATCGTCTTAATTAATTATCAACCCTAAACATTGAAGCTGATTTAACGAAAAATATTAATTTTAATGATATTATTGAACATTTTTCTTATCAAAAGTCAAGTAAAAAATTATAAACTATAAAAATTATAAGCTAATTATTTTATTAGATATAATTAATAATAAATATAATATATTGAATCTAATAAAAAACCATGTATTATTAATCATTGTGCATATAAGTGTTAATTCCGTTTTCTATATTTAATATATATATATATATTTTTTGAAAGGAATATTCACTTTGAAAAAAAATTAGGTTAACGTTAGGATATATATTACGATAAAATTATCTAATACAATATCGCAAAACAACTGATTTATAAATTGTTTCATAAAATTAATTTTTTTATTGCTTAACTTTGAATTTATTTATATATATATATATATTTTTTTTTTTTGTAATGGGAAAGGGGGAAAAATTATTTTGCCCCGGGGCGCGTATATTATAAATGCGCCACTGAAAGGGCCCCGTACACGGTCAAATTTGTTTGTCACGAATTTCTTGTTTTCATCGAACAAAAACGCGTATGTGCGATAGATCGAATCGATATGTTAAACTCGCCCATAGTTTCGGCGGTATATGGGAATGAATTGCAAAAGAAATAATTTTTCAGAAATATTGCCGCTATTTCCGTTGTCGTTCATCGCACATGTGTTCTCGTTTGTCGAACAAAAATTTGACAAATAATTTGACCGCGTACTTAATATCATTATTACGACCACAGGTTTCGTGCGAAACTATTATTGTTTTGCTTATATCACCGTGGTTGCGACCCGACAAACTCTAAACGATCCGCTGTCAGGACGACATAACGACACAGAACCTACCGATCTAGAGGCGAAAACTATTCACAAGTGCGTCGAAGGCACCTGTAAGTGCCCCACTTAACTGGGCCGAGAAATCGTCAGTGCTTAGCTAACGAAATGCGAGGAACGTCTCACGTGGTAGTCGTGTAGGGCGGCGGGATTCAGAGAGCAAATATCCCTCGAAAAAATTCTGTTATTTATATTTTACTACATTCACCCATGTAATTAATTGGTTTTAAAAAATTGTTTTAAATCCGGTTCGTATAACAGTTTTTCAGTGTATTATTATTATTATGACCCAGAGCTCGGAAGCTACAGTCCGATATGCAACTCCGAGATTCATTGATCTGAATGACATACGTACGCAAATGACGTTTGTGTTGCATCACCAAAAAAATCACAACAAACGAAAAACGAACAAAAAAACCATTCAAATAATGAGTTTAGACAACACGTATTTTTTCGATGATGCTTAATTCAAAATTCTGATGAAAACGTCGAAAACGGTAACGAAATAAATATCGCGTGCCTAATCCCCCCAATCACGGACTAAAAAAAATTAAAATTTTAGGATTGAGAAGGCAATTCAGAATGATAATTGAAATTATTGATAATCTTCGGATTTCCTTTTTTTTTTTTTTTACTTTACTTTTAATCTTACTTGAAATTTGCGTTAAACGTCTAGAAACTTGCAATTGGTTTAAGTTTGTGTTATTTGAATATCAATGTATTATAGGCATAAATATGATTTGTCTGTCTGTCCGTTCGGAAACACATGTTTAAAAACTGTACGAATAATTTGCACGTATTATCGTATGATTTAAAATAATTAATAAAATATTATTTATTAATATTAGTAATATTTTCCGGAATAATTTAGAATTCCTTTATAAGAATCATTATTTATCGCACCGTTACGTAATTTCTTTTTTTTACCAACTCAAGGGATTGACCGTTCTGTATATGAATCGCGATGAGTTTTTCACTTTATTCTTTCTGCGTTTCGACACTGCGCGCAGGCGCTGGTCACCGGTGATAATATTAAAATCTTAGAGAACGATAGTCAAAACACGATTAGCTCGCTTGTAAAGTACCTGCCGACTGAATGGACGCGTCGGCCGTGGCCTCGCCCAACTTGCGAACCGACCGCACCGTCGCTTCGTCCAGCAGCTTGACGTTGAGCGTCAGCGTGCCAAAGTACCGGCCCAGCCTGTCCACGAAGTACCGGTCGAACGCTTCGGAGGAGTCGCTACCGGATGCGGGGACGGGCCCCTCGGCCGTTCCGTACTTCTCGCCCGACACCGTCACGCCCGGCGCTAGCGCGTAGCTCTCGTTCGCCCGTTCCAGCCGGTCCACCAGGTGCACCAGCGCCAGTTTGACACACGTCACGTAGTTCTTGGACATGCACCTCTTCCACATGACCTGAAACGAAGCGACATCAAGGATTATTATACGTAAGGCCGGTGTGCGCCGTCAGCGTGTAGTTGTTACGTTTGGACCGGACGAAACGCAATCAAATCAAATCTTTTGTCCGGATTGATCTCTGTTCGGCTAATAATACATTAATATCGATCCAGGCATGTTTCCAGTCACCCGAAAACACATCTAAATCGAATGAAAACGTTTCCAAGGAAATTTCGATAAATTAGTACATCGAGTTTGTTCTGTGGGATAAAAATATGTCTTAAGTTGGACAAAACCATTCAGTGTAAATTCGTAGTAATAGCACCATTTTTCCCACCACAAAGAGACGATGATAAAATGTTATTTGTATGTTAATATTTGTAACATTTTACGGTTTTTTTTTTTTAGCTATAGGAAATTATCAAAAAATATCATCGAAATAATAAAAAAACTTCATCATAGATAATGTTCTCTACTTAAAAATAAAAAATAAAAAGACCGCTACTCGGATACGATCACGATTACATGCATCCATATGTGTGCGTCCGTTAGCCCTATCATCGTGGATCTATGGAGCGTTATGCCCATACGGGTGCATTTTTGAGTATCACGTCCTTTTAGAATTTTCGCACTCTAAAGAGTTCAGCTAAAATAATAGACCGTACTGGATATAGTGTCGATGGCTTAGTCGGTTTTGTTTTTAAACGTATTATTTTGTATCATCATACGGCGCCAATTCAATGTCCAATCGTATAGCTCTATACAAATGAAACAGAACAATAATTCGTAATGCAACAATTACGAGCCGTATTAAAAGTTTGTAACTTGCGTAGTTTTACACATTTGAAAAATTATACCTGACTTTCCATCAATCAAATCGTAATTGTAATCTAACCTAACTAAATGTTATGAATTACTATAACTACTCGCATTCGGAGCGTACACGATTTAAAACGTATTCCACGTACGTATTTACGACGAAAGCGACAAAAACGAAAACGCAAAATTGTCACTGTTCGTCAATTACTCGGTCGTTTCCGAGTTATCGCGCGGCGGAATTTCGACTCGATGTACGTATAGCACGCGAAGTTCGATTGTCCTGATTTTTCCATCATGCCACACACACGCACAAGCTAATTGAAATAATTCATCGGTGAGAATAAAAACGAAAAACCGGATGCTTCGCTTCGATACGAGTCGTACGTCGATTGCTGTTGGCCTGCAATGATCGACACGTGAAATCGGTGAACTGCCATCGAAAATACGTCGTCGCAACGATCATTACGGTATGAAAATATTATCGTTCCGTTCCCGTAGTGCCTATTTATTAGAACGTTTTCGCGTACACCACGAACGCGCGTACTACCCATTTCACATAGAATTGCAAGTACGAGTACAATATAACGTCCTCTGCGACACGCGTTATTATACGCGTTACACTTGTGCCACGGATACGTGACAGGTACGCGCGCCATCAAAATAATATTATTAAATTGTGTGCATAACGTATGGCGTTTACAGTGAAAATAAATTGTGATAACAATATGCCGCGTACAAGTTAGGACGTGTTATATTATTACAGTAGACGACGCGGGATATTGGCTGCCGGTAGTGATTTGCCGCGTACCAGTGGTCGGGGTTTCGCACGTAAAAATTATAATAATTTAATAAAACGATCGTGCACGTACGTGCTATAAATTTGCTGCGAACGAGCGTGTAGTATTGTTGTTCGATTTCTAAATCGTCCGTCAAAAATCGTGGTCACATTACGTGGTAAACGCGCAGTTTACCGCATAAACGTATGCGGTCAACAGCTGTAACGATACGAGAACGGAAAACATCGTCATCTGTATGTTTGGATTCGTTGTGTACAGGGTGGTTAACTTATTTCAATAGTGACTCGTTAAATTGTTAACTTCCCGTGAGACGAACGGCCGGGTATCGCACCACCACTAGCGTTTGACTCAAAAGTCGATGTTCGACGGTAACGATTTCTGTTAGAGCTCCGAGTTTGTACGTATCATTGGTTTTACAGCGGATTCGAACTCTCCGATAATATTTTTATAACTCAATCGATACACTTATCGATGTTTTATTGTTATGTGTACAGGTACTACGTGCTGGCATAATTTATAGCGCAAAAACGTTTTGAAATGATCACGATAGGTGCTAATAATATAATAAATAACCGTGAACAACGCGTTTCTGGAGGATCCGAAGATTAAAATGTATACGATATAATATGCTGCGTGTGTTGATTGAATGTTTAAATTTTTTTGTTATTTTTGTACTGCAGCAGAGATGCAATTGGGTCGCGACTCGTCAAATATGAAAACATCCATATCTTACGTTAATATAAAGATGTATAATATATTATTACAATAATTGTAGAAAAAAATAGATTTCGTTACAATACGTGTATTGTAAAACACTATAATAGTATATAATTTCTTATACGTTTGAGCCATGTCTATATTTTCACTAGGACCACCGCGTTTCGCTATCTGCGACCACATTTTTTTATTATTTTCAATCGATACGATCCAAGTGCAGTTCTAGTACAAAGCTGTTGTGGTCCACAAACAATACCATCATGGGAATAATCCTGACCAGAATCGGTGTTTACAACCCGACTCACGGGAAACCTATGTTTTACGCGCTTCCGAGTATTCTCATAATAACAGACGGCTGCGAAGCAAACCCGTGGTGAAACTGATCGCGTCTGGGCGAAGTAACTCGAACGGTAGATAATACGTGTTGCAGATTTTCACGCATACGTACGTGTATGTACGCGTGCAAGCAAGTCGGAAGCGTATTCTAAATCGAAATTAAGGACAAGCAAGTGAGATTTGAATTTGAATATCGTTAAATCCTTAAATGAACGATCTCCTTCCGAAATCAAACTTTATCAAGCGGAAAATTGGTAACAATTTCATCATTATTTTCGAAAAGAATAAAAGCAGAACACGTGCCCGTGTAAACGTGTAAATGTTTTTTCGCGTGCCATCATGTATTGTTCCTTGCGTGATTGCGTTATGCACCTGTGTTCGTCAACTGCAGCCGTGGCGACGATCTCATTTCCGTTGGTCAGAAATCGAATTCGACGGTTATATTAACGTACGATAATTCTACACACAGAGTACATCTTAGCGTGAGTACGTGCGTCGAGACGAGATGAACATGCATTCGACGCGCAAGCGGTAAACTCTCGGCTTATACAGATCTGTATATGCGTCACGTGTAGCGTACGAGTGTTTATCGATACACGAGGAAAGGAAATCGCCCACGGAAATAAAAGGACACGTGCAGCGTGTGCGTGTGACGGCCGATATCGAGAGTTCGGCGACAGAAATATAATACACAATCGTCCTCGTCGCCGGCACTACGATCACGTATCGCGACTTTCCAACCCAGATTTCGCGAGAAAACCATTTGAAACGTATCAATAATTTTAGGTTGTACACGTGTTGGGCATACACGTCGCCGTCGTATTTCCGATCACTCGGATGCGGAATATGACGCGACGGCTCGTAGCTATATTTCGAACCGATCCCATAATGGAGATGGTTCACGAAATTGTTGGTCGCGATGCTTTTCCCGTTTGGATAGATATGGCAAAAAATATTGTGTGTTATTGAGTTCGGTATATTCGGAGAGGAAAACCACAATCGATGTCTACATTAAACTGTTATTGATAACACGCGAAAAATGTACGTAATATTGTCAACACCTGTATTTCACGATCGACAAATGAAAGACATTTTTACTATCCAAAAAATGTATAAAACCTTAAGTGTACATGTTCTGAAAATCGATATGTACTATGAAAATAGGTTAGATTCATCCGTAATGAATGATCTTTTCGTAAACCAATAAGGAGCTTATTTTCTGAACAATTCGAAAAATACTAAAATCACACATCCGTAATATTGTACACATTCGACACAGTATCACGTTGTATAAATATTAGGTGCAACGAAATATATTTTCACTGCCATCGCAATTTATAATCCTATACATTATTTATAGTTAAATATCACAATAATAAGAAAAAATCGTGACAGTAGCTGTATTGTTCATGGTTTATATCGACGGTTAATCGTTATTATATCGCGATTTAAGTTGTATAATGTTATAACAATATGGTTTATGACAAAAACGTCAAAGATTCTTAACTGCTGAAAACTAGCTAATAATTTTCAGTTAAATAAAAAATAAATCTATTACTTCTTAGCAATTCATAAAGCAACATAATAATGTCATCATAATTCGTTATCGGATCACACTGCGCACGATCAAGAACATTGAAATTCACTCGTTTGAGATTAATCGAGTTATTTACGTTTTGTGAATTTGTCGTTGTTTTTAAATACCCGGTGGCCCGAGTCGCTGTATAAAATCTTAATAAAATTATTCCTTGAAGAATTTATGTGATTATAAATATTTTTTACCGATGCAGATCTTAACCTGAAAATACTCGTGCACTAAACTAACGTGTCCACTTAATGATTCATAAACATGGTTTATAACCTTATTAACAAAATTTTTTGGTTATACTTCATATATTCACATGAAGTTCACCGTGGGCAAAGAATTTTCGTACTTTACGGGAAAATAAATGGGAGATAAGATGACCGCAAGATGACCGCAGCGCTTAATATGTTTTTAACCGTTCATCTCAGTTGAGATTGAATAAGTTTACGGATTGGCGCGCATGGAATATACACACATGCTTAAAATATTAATCACGTGTTATATAGTCCATAATCACTGTGTATGAGAATTATTAAAGTTATTATTTTAAAATGTTATCGTTTTCACGGATTCTAAACATTTTCACTTTTAGTGGTAATTTTAATAATAAGACAATTACAAAAATACTAACAAATCCCATTAAATATAAAAATGTCCGTAAGTCAAATGGGAATTCTGCACGGTGCAATCGAGTAATATTATAATAATAATCTGAAAACCATTCGGTACGAAAATTATTGATTTCGAAGAAAGAGGCACGGTGTAAAAATAAATGTGGTACCGCAACAGTTCAACGGCGGCACACAACGTTTCACTATCATTATTTAAACAGCGGTCCGTTAAAATAGTCTCAGTTACATTTCTTTATCGAAAAAATCGCGATATTCTGCTATTAGTTTCACCAATCAAACATGAATAAACAGCCGAATATTAAATATTAGGTATTATGATGGGTTTCTATTATATATACATACAAAAAAAAAAAAAAAATAAAAAAAAAAAAACATAAAAAATATCAATACACTGTAATTGTTCACGAGATTTATTTTAAACGCATGTTAACTGGACGTTGAAAAATGAAATAAATGTAAATAGTCAAAATCAAATAAACATTTATGCAAATACGGAACAGTTCACAAAATACACAAACGGTTAGTCGTTATTATTTTTTTCGATTTCATTATCCTCACTCCCGAGCCCATAATATCTATATAGGTGAACCTATCACTTTCGCGCGAAAGCAGATTTAAAGGCCCACGCAAATTTATAGGAAATCGATACTGATAGGAAAAAGTGATACAAAAAATCGCCACTCATATCATCTCCTGCCGGGTCGTTTTGAACAGCATGAACGGTTCGCGCGGAACGGTGTAATGGTTTGTATGATTGTATAGTTATTGTTGAATAGAACGTATATATAATACACGTAGAGAGTTAATATTGTTTTGTATTTTTTTATTTTTATAGAAATTATTGTATATTTTAACATAAAAGTGTCGGTATCACTTTCGATACGTGAGACACAGTCGATAATCTACCGTGCCTAGTATTATATGATTGTAAATAGTTAATAAATAACGAGAAATCATAATAGCGACGAATAATTTTAATTAAAACGGATTTTAATAAATATAATACCAATAATACACACCTATAGCGCACAACACGATGATTTCTATCGGCTATTGGGTTTTTTTTTTTAACTCTTAAAGTTGAGAGTTTTATTAACAGTTCGATGTGAAGCTAATAAACAACGATAAAACAGCACGTCATCTGGAATTTGTTCGTACACAATCGACGGATAATGACTAATTTACACAACGACTTTTGTGCACAATACACCTTTAATGGTGAGACATAATGAACGTTACACGGCGGAAGTTTCCTCGGATCGATGCGATCAGAGGAAATTAACTTTTTACAAATGGCCATTCGGGGAATGTGATTCGGTAAAATCCGATTAGATGAGAGTGTGAACTCGATAATTATTGAAATATCCGTTTCGTATCTTGAATGCACAAACTATATGTTTCTGCCTTCGACACATTTGCCGTTCGTAAAATAAAAATACCGATTGGCGATTACCGTCTAAAAAATTGTGTAAAGTATTCATTGAACTTATTATATGTGAAATACGAGGTATTGGGCGGACTTGGCATCACCCATTTGGAAAGTAGTGATAAATCATCGTGTTTGAAAAACGATTTACAGCTCAGTTTGTTTGAGTAATTACAAAATGTTTTAAACGCTCATTAAATGGTAACTGTATATGACTAGAAATAGATTATGTTTAACATGGTTAAATTAACAAATACCTTGTTCAAATTTTAAATCATTACATAAACCATAACTACAAAGTGCATCAAAATAAATTATTGCTAGGTTTTAAAAGTATATAGTAGTATTTACATTGAGTTTTAAAATTTAAAATGTCATGTAGTTAAAAACAAAAATTCCTAATAAACTCGCCGATGTTATATTTTATATTTTATTTGAAAATTTCAATTTTTATTATTATTGTTATTATTATTACTCTAAGCTATGCCCATAAATTAAAATTCATAATATATATGTATATTACAATTATTAAAATAGGGAAAATCGTTACAAAGTTCTAATTTCAAGGACCATGTATTTTTTTAATTGAATCTCACTAAAAATGGACATGGACCCGACATAAATATCGGGTTTTCCTTAATTTTCAACGATTGTTCTTCGAAAACACTTTGAAATCATTCAGACATTAAAAAAATGACCTACATAATACATAATCAATTAGTTTTTAAATCTATTGATAGGTATTTTATAAAACTTTTTGATCATTCTTTCCACGAAAAATATAATAATAATAATCATAATAATAATAATAATAATAAAATATATCATTGTAAGACCAATGCTTACTTTGCTACGCTCGAAAATTAAAAAAAATAAAAGAAGTTAATCACTTTAACATAACAGCATTGTACAATAATAATAATAATAATAATAATATAAACGGAAAGTTCATGCAACAACTAAATTCGAATATGTCCATTACCATATTGCCTATATATAAGTATATTTTTGTGTAATAAATATAGGTAATATCAATTTTTCCAACAGATCAGAAATAAATATAATATATACTCAAATTCGATCGAAAACATGAACAATGTCACGGTGGTGGTGTTGTTTTGGTAACACAACGATTTTCTCAGCATGAGCCAATTGAAGGACGTGTTCAAACTGTGGAGTTATTAAACCGATATTTTCTATTATTCGTGATATTGCTTTGGTACATGAAACGTGATATTCCACCAATTCGTTTTACAAACTGTCTATTGGACAGGAATGAAATAAATACAATGTTAACAGCGTTAAAAGCGTTTTCGGGAATGATTATTAATTTAATTTTTTCGCTCCGACAAATAATCGGCCAGCAACATTATGCAGTGGCAGAAAATAAATGCACTCGATCGTTACGATATCATTAGCTCAATCATTAACATATTATATCTGTACGAACACAATGGAATGTAGTCTTCTATATATAATGATCGTGATCATGTCCAGACGAGGAAGTCCAAATGGGTATCCGCAAACAATTTCACCCTTTTTTGAATCAGAATTATTTCAACTCGACTCTCTGGAATTCTTCATAAATTACAAAAGTATTTGCTCTTATGGTTATCTTTTAGAGGCCTTCAAACAGCAAGATAGGTAGCTTTAGAAAATATAAATCTATTAATAAAGAATACATTTCCAAAATATTTACCAAGCATAGAAAATATTATTTTAAACATGTCATTATTTTTACATTTTCGAACCAATATTTTCAGACCTAAAATATTTTACCCATTTCAACCCCTATGGAGGATAACGGACTGTATCGGTTAAACATATTAGTAAAACTGACTTTTTTCATATCCTCTGCTTGATTTATGTCTTACTCGTATTATTTATCATATTATTTCCACGGTGAATAAATTACACGTATTCTGATTTTATTTATTTAAACAAAAGTATATTTACAATCTGTAATATTTGTATGGAATAAGTACATTTTGTATCTTAACTAAAATAATAACTAAAAAAAATAACGTGAAGAGGGAGGCTCACCAGTGTGAAAATCCACTAACTCGGCGGAAGAAAACGTTTTTAGTTAATTGAATACTCTTCGGGATTCAAGATCTTTCGGCACCATTGTGTTTTAAATCGACGAGGGAAGTTATCTGGGATGTATTCACTTACTAAGTTAAGGTACTAGTAAATTGGTATGATTGATTAATTTGGTGTGGACATTGTTGACTGTAAGAGATTTAGTTGTAAACCATTAAAAACCATTTTAATTTTTAGGTCTTTGTGCAAAGAGAGGTTTGAGACGTAACACGACACAGATGTAATTTGGCGAAAAGAGATTGACTGAAAAGGCTTGGGTGGTACTTACATGTTTGGGTTTTATATATTAATATATTATAATAACGTTATAATTGCGTCCAGACGGATTGACGTCTTCATCGCACTCGGAAATATCGGAAATAATTTTATCGAGTACGTTTTCGTGTTACAGGAATGACGAAGCACGTCGCGAATCAAAGCACTAATATGACCGTGTATTCATCGAATGATCGAGATATTCGAATAGCGTATTGTTATATCGTGTATTATTATAGTGCGCGGAAATCTTAAACCACTGATTACCAATGCACCTAAAAATATTGTGCTCGGTAATGTTCGCGCGCTGTCGAGTTTCTAGAAGCATTCTATTCAATATACAAATAATAACACAACAAATAATAATAATAGTAGCGTTTCTATCAAATACCATGTTTATATACATTTTATATTGTGTTAATCTTTTCCATGTACACGCGCATCAAATACTGTAAGTTTCAAAAGTTTATAATTTACAGACCGTGGACGAACACATGCTTAAGATGCGATCGCACCTTGAGCCAAAACTTGCCTGTGACAAACGTGAAATGAAAGTTTATGGTTCTCCGATATCAAGAATTTTGTGCTTTCCTAATTTCGGTTTGTCCGCACGGATCTTTGTTTTGGTTCGAACGATTTTTTTTTTATTGAACGAGAGCTTAACATTATTTACCATATCGGTATGATGTTTAAAAATGAATCAGTAGCTAAAAAATGATTCGTGCTGCAGAGCCATATTTCAAAGCTTGTTTGTGTACAAGTCAACGCATTCGGAGTGTTTTTGGGATTTGAAAAGCGGACGAGTGGTTCTTGGAAAACATGTCGCTTCATCCCGACACACCTACAACTACGTAGGAACGGGTTTATGGGGGTGGCTAAGAGGGCATTGCTCCCCCCCCAATTTGAACTAAGCTTACTATTTTACACAGTCAAGTATTATGATATATTGATATATTAATAATTATTAAAAATATCGTCAATCGTCATTGATGAATATAGTATATATTTCATATATATTTTTATAAATAAATAGCTAATTTTTGTTGTTAATTATATGTGTATACCTATATTTTTAAAACGGTTTCAGATCAAAATTGATACCGATAATATAACTATTTAAAATTTATCACTGTTGTGAAAAAAACGACTTACTTATGACGGGGGGGGGGGGGCTCAAAAAAACATATTCTGTAATTTAAAACTGTATTTAGATTTAAAAAACAACCAACTAAATTCTTGAACCTCCATCGGTGAGTGATAAAACCCGTCCCTGCTACTACGTTGCTGCGTGTTACGTACCTTTTTCAGGCCGTCGGACGATCCGTTGAACGGTCGGGTGGCCGGGGTCGGGTTCACGAGGTTGTCCGCGATCTGTTGGCCGGCGTCGGAGACGTCCGCGGCTCCGGGCACGTCGGCGGCCGATTGGCCGTAAGCACGACCGGCCACCGCGACGGCCAGCAGGGCGGCCACGGCGATCGTGAGGTCGCGGTCGCGAGCACGACGGCCGTACATGACGACGATCGGTGTCTATGCGTGCGGCGTGTGCAATGTGCCGTCGAGCGGGCGCGGAAACGTGCGAACACGCGTTTATGGCCGTACGTGCGTTGCGCTGCGTGTGAGCCGATTTGCGGTGCGGACGGACACACGGCGGTGTTGCAGCGGTTACAGCGACGGTCGGTTTGTGCGATGCGCCGGCACGTTGCGAGATCAGTTATAGGCGCGAGCGGACGAACGGTGCCCGGACGATTTGGGTCGCGGCGGAGGCGGTGCCGGAGGTGGTGGTGATGGTGGTGGTGGTGGTGGTGGTGGTGGTGATGGTCCATCCCCCCGCGGCCGTTGCGAAACGGTTAGGAAAACGTGCGCGCGTAACATAATGAAACGAATAATTTCTCGTTCGTATAAATACGTTTCTATAAAATGTACGCCGTACGCGTTCGTCGTCGTATTATCATCCGGCTGCCAACAATGGAAATAATATGTTGTGTGGAAACGTACGCGACGGACGTGTTAGATCTGTGTTAGCACGTAGTCGTGCGCGCGGAGGGTGCAGGCTCACCCTTCCCACCGCCGGAATGTTGTAAACGGGGCCCTACGATCCGAGTCCAAGAGTAAGGACTCCGTGTTTAAATCAAATCAAATGTTATTCGTTCGAAAATATTCGGTAAGAAATAAAAGATGTTTCGCATTTTTCACAGTAGAGAAGATAATGATAATAATAACGAATATTTATTTAGGGGTTTTGAAAATTATACACGTTATGTCGGTATTTTAACGTTATACTGCACCGTCTATCACTAAGGGTGTTCCTTTGTTTTGATAGACGTGAATATCGGAAGGAAATAAATATTTATAGATATATAAAACTAAATTTTTGAAATGTTCGTGCAAACATTTATTATGTAGCATAACAGATACAGTCGACAGCAAAAGTACAAATCATAAATAAGTGGAGGTATTCGTGGACAATTTACGAGATTCGAGGATAACATATCGATTGCTACTGATGTACAAAAATTTACATTAAAGAAAGAAAAATTAAAATTAAAGAGATGTTTATTTAATCATTTGTACATTATAATTTTTTAAATAAATCTACACGATATGTTTAGATAGGGTCCAAAAGTTTAGAATTGAAAAGCGTTCCCGCCCATCTGCAGGTCTACAGCGTTTTCCATAGATATTTTTCGCCGGCACCATCAAGTCTATTGCTGCGCCATGTATTTGTCATTTGTGTAACGTTTGTGTAACGCTTTTCTTTCTTTATTTATCTACAAACCCTCCGACCTGGCTAACACAGCAGTCGAACACGCTATTGATTATCAATAACCTGTGTTGCTTTAAATCGGCATGATTAAGTTATTTCTCCCATCAACTGACATTATATCCCTGTTAACAATGGAACTCTTAGAAATAATCGTCCCGATATTAAGGTGGTCAAGTTACATAAAACAAAACAAAAAAAAAAATTAAAAACCCTCATTACCTTAAAAACGCGATTGAACGTGAGTAAAAATCGCATAATGAATGTGTCAATACATTTTTATACCAGTACATCATTCCCACGTACATTATCCGTTTATCGTCTCTGCTTTATTATTTTTTTTTATTGTTTTTTTCGCTTTTTTTAGTTTCGTATTGATGTATTTTGCAGCATATTTAAATCTGGACGGTGGTTTTCATGCGTACACTCCGATAAAAACTCGTCGCGGCAATTGTCGTGGTCAGCTGCGCAGCATACCTTTTATTATTATTATTATTATTATTGCTATTATTTCGATCTGTTCGTGTTTCTAATGTGCAACAGATGATGATTGCAATAATGATATTAATTCGCACAAAAGACTATTGTAATTCAATCGGACGCGCGCACACTCCCGGCCTACTAAATGGTGAATTTTACGCGCTACCTTGGAGCGATTTGCGAGCACAATGCCACCATCACAATGGTCATTCCACCGGACACATAGATCTTGCGTGGAGGCAACGTAGCGAGCGGACTATTCAAAGGCTTAGTATAATTGCAGTTGATGAATGGTAAATGAACGCGAATGACATAGAAAAACTTAATTTTACTTCGCTTTGTACCAACCATCACGGCGTGCACGCGCGTACGCTCGGTTGTCTTTTGGTAAAAATATAATATTTTAATTATGTACGGTTTTGGAGCCAGTATTATTTTGGATAATATTACACGTATAAACCTACGATGGGAAAGAGAATATGTTTTGAAAACAAATCTCGCACCGCTAATGAGATTTACGAAAAGAGGCGTACAAATGATTGATGTCATTGTCGGAGATCGAACTGTGCGAAAACACCAATGGTGCACATAATCACCCGTAGATTAAGGTGCCTATGTGTATTAATATTACATTTAACAGGCTTAATACTTGATAATGATTTAAAACGCGTGGACGTTTTTGAAATATAAACGATGGTTTTCTAATCTTCGTATTATTTTTCGATTGCGTTTTTACATATTTAATCGAAATTGTAATGGCTTCGTAACTTACTTTTGAAAGCGCTTGTTAAGTGAATGTACATCGATACCAACGAAAACCTAATAAAACGTACACGCGATTCAAAGGTTTAAATTTTTATCTTTAACATTTATTTAAATGTTATTTACTTACATAACATTTTACTCCATTAATCGTACCGCAAATTTTTATAAAATAAATTATTATTTTATTAATGGATAAATGTGTATGCATTTCGAAGGGTGGTATCTGAACACAAAGAGCTAAATAAAATATTATAAAGCTGATCGAACAAATTGAAACTTTTTTTTTTTTATAATTTCTTTCCGCCTACCTTTTAGTATATTTTTACCCTAATTGTTTACACAGAGATGTTAAAATACGGTATTTTATTTATTTTTTGTATAATACCGTATTATATCGTATAGAACCTTGCAGTACCTTAAATTATAAAGAATTTAACAAAGGTTATCACCTCATTGTTAATTATGAAATACAAATTATTTTAAAATGGAATAATTGAAAAAAAATGGCTAAAAAGTTAGAAAAAATTAAAAAAACACATAATACAATAATTATTCACCAAATTAATATTTAGTCAATTAATAATAGTCATGCTATCGATTTGCAATTATGGTATAGGTAACATACGTATGTATTTTATACATAGAAATACATATTTTTTAAATAGAAATAAAGAGAAAACTATACTTTATACTTTTATAGTTATATACTATCTCATTGTACGTATATATTTACAATATTTGAATATTATAATAGTACAATAAATTTATTTTAGTCATTTTTAACACCTGAATTCTAAATTAACACGATTGCAATAATACTGTATATTTTTAATATTTATAATAATGCTGTACTTTATTGGAGATCCATTCTATAAGTACAACTAAAAAATTAATAGTTGAGTTACTAAAAATAACTAAAAATAGCGTTTTCATTATTTTTTATACTGTCTGTATAAAATAATTTTATACCATGTGTATATTACCTTGTATAATACAGTTTTTTACCACTGTATAACACAAACTTACTTCACTATTTACACACGCTCAACTACTTGAACGAAAAAACGCCGTACATTAATCCACAGGTTAGCTGCACAAGTGTTATGGATTATACGTGGCTATCGTAACGATGTCGCCGAAGAAAAACTCGTAATGACAACGTTTCTCGTTAGCCAAACTTCAACTTTTGGTGCATCTTTATTTCGACTGACAAATACTCCACACAGAGTCTCTACATCAATGTAACTTATAGCGTACAATAAATTATGTCTGGGTATGGTCTGGCGGCATATTCCAATTTTCATATGCCTACGTACACTCCGAAATTCCGGGTAAATATGCACGTGTCATTGTTACAGCGATTAAAATCATAATCTTGGTATTATAAATTATAATGAACCGCAGAAACATCCAAATAGGCCTTTCTGATGGTTATCTTAGCGTCGAATCTAGTTCTTAATTTTGTTTATATATGTATATTAATACAATTACAGTCAAATAACCTATTATGTTGTCTTATAATGAAGTCTCTTGGACCGTACTTGAACGCAAAAAGCGAGTAGATAGAACGTGGTTCTACTATCTAGAACGTAAACATAATAATATCTTTCTTTTTCTGTGCCACCAGCGTGATTTACGGTCTATGTTTTACAGTCAGAAATTAAGAAACTAAAAACATCGTAAGAAATAATATTTTTTCAATTATATAGGTACGATTTGGAACTACCGTGAAGAGTAAAAACGATATTCATGTAATATATTATACAATATTATAATAATAAAACAGAACTATTGATGATTTTTAATTAGTAATTGCTCTCGAAAAGCATTAAATGTAGTACATATATTATAGAAACTTTGGAATAATTATAACAGCGAAACAAAAAAAAAAAATAAAATGTTGACTATCCAATAGAGATTTATAACTAAATAATCAATAATTCAATTTTCATGTATCAAATATCATCACATATAATTTTAATGAATTATCAACTGATAATAATACAATATGCAATTTAGTGCGATTTAATTGTAGAGAATTTCGTATGCTATGATTTATGACTGATTATTATTCACAATTTTAATTTCAATATAATTAAATAACAAAAAAAATAAAAATAATACCACATTTCAAATGCGGTTTTCATTGCTGTATTGCAAAATGATAAATTTTTTTAAAATTTTCGATAACATTACTTGAAATATTTTTTCTAACATTTTGAGTTTTTATATTGCATGAAAATAGGTCTGATTTAATTTTTACATACTTAAAATAGTGAAAAATTAAACTACAAACAGATTATATTAAACTTGATTTACCTACGTGTAAAATATGCAAAATACTTATTTAGAAAATGGAAGTGTAAGATTTGATGATTTTCGTATTTTCACTTTTATTGACTGTTAATTTGAGTGCACATGTATGATGTTATACGCACGCGCACGCGTGTGTGTGATACATGTAGACTTATAGAGTATACAGACGGATTTATAATCCCGTGTATGACTATTTTCCAATTAGAAAACGTGCCTATTCGGACTGCTGTGTCTTCTTTGACAATGGTTTGAGAAATCTGACAGTCTCAATTACTAATTGAGTATACCTATGTTATTTTCAAAATCAAACAGTAAAATATTTTTGTGCAAATCAATATAATAAGAGTATGCAGTATTGTATATGTTGCTTGTCACGTTTCTACAATTATTTGTTTAAACCGCATCGAAAAGTATTATACGATTATTATGGGATATCAGCAACAACCAACCTATTAACTATAATCATAATTCAAACGTATATAATATATTTAAAGAAAGTATACATAGTGACAAGTAATTATATACTTACCTAAAATTATGAACGATACATATTATATATTTTGCTATTCAGGAAAATACCAATTTTCTATTTTTCTATTTAATTAAAATTAGTTATAATAATTTATATATTCATGACAATAAAACATTTAATTCACTTGATACACATTTATTCAAACAATCAAAACATAAAAGCAATTTTATGAACATAAAAAAAAAAAATTAATTCAACTCATAAATATACTGTCGGGTTCAGTAAACACAATTTAATCTTTATTTCTAGTTTAAATTTAACTCAGATTTATAAAATCAACCGGTGCTTTTATTATGTTCGATATTTTATTAATAAAAATTACATTATTGAAATGACCAAATAATGATACATATTTGGTGTTTTCTATGAACGTTTCATTGAACAGACTTTTTAGCGTACAGCGTGAAATTGAAATGTTCTACCAGAATTAACTCAAAAAATGTCAATACTGGCTACGGAATGCCAATGGTTACAATAATAAATAAATATAATAAGCACACACACATAAACAAATATATTTATTTATACAATATAATAGTGATAAGTTAAGCGTATGAATGACTCTTCGATTTTCTGGGCCGCCATAAATTATAGAACAATTTCGAATAGGAAAATAGTTAGAACCGTTATAGTAGATATTATACACCCACAATGTAACGTCACCCATTATTGAGATCGCAGTTAAGCATCATCGATATTGGAAGAAATTTAATTTTTTTTAAAAATGTTTGTGTGTACACAGAAATACCTTATTTTATCGATAAAATGTAATGTTATACACAAATAAGTATTTGACATAAAATAAACAATAATAATTTTAATAAAACGGAGTACAAATAAATGATTCGTATAGGAAATTTTATTTCGTCGTAACAACATTGGATGTTCGAAGCGATTAGCGCGCAGAAAATTCGTAATTCCGTAGATAATTATTTTCAAAAAAAAACGTGATCGTCGCGATAAAGCGAACCAGTTGAAATCGTGATTCGCACTAAAAATATATATGTAAAAAAATAAAAACATATTTTTTTTAAAAATTTTTTTCGGCTCACTGCTACCGCAAATCTTCTACCCGTCGAAAACATGTATTGTTGACGTTGTCCGGACGTGACGTTCTACGGGCGCACATATTACTATTGTATCGCGGTGCGGTCCTCCGCGGGGTCTCGTGGCCAACACCGGTTTCCGAGTACACGGCGAGAATCGCGACCGGCGTTTTCTCGTCCGATTCACTGTTTCTCTATTATTATTTCATTTTTTTCCTTTTTCCTAAGCACCGAAACGTAGCCAACAAGCCATTGTGAAACGAACGTCCGTTGCATTGTGTACAACACATCGCGGCGGCACATGTGTATAGCTTTGACTGACGTTCGGAAGACCGTCCGCGCTTACCGGGTACAGGATAAAACCGTTATCGGCACCTGTGCACGCGACGTTCGACTTGACGATATTGGTCCGGGTGTTTACCACGCACGTTGTTTTCGCCACCGGAATAAGAAGGGACGGAAATCCGAAAACGCGCTCGCGACTGTTTGCGATCCGACGAACAAGACTTGTAGTACTACCTGTATATAAACACCGTTGAATACCACGATGATGTGCACAAAGTGTCCCGTGAGGGTTTACCACGATAGTTCCGAACACATTGTGTTCGAGTAAAAATGCAAAAATATCAATAAGGTTTTAAATCATGTACTCGTAAAGATTATAGAAGGTTTATCGATTTTTCAAAACGATTAGATATATAAATATTTCTGTAAAAAAAAAAAAAAAAAAATAGAAAAACGACTTTCGATTTTTCTTACGTTCAACGCTGAACTATCAACGGATAAATTATTTGAAATAATAATACTATTTTTTAAGAGTTATTCACGTCGAAAGGTTTATATTTCCTGAAAAAATGAACGTCATAAGAAAATGGTACTAAAACGATTGTAATCGATTTGAACCGTGTTAAAAAAACAGAATTCGCTTATTTTTACCTACACTGGAAGTACTGTTATTCATTTTGAGTCTTCCGCGACACCCTGTACATAGTGTACACGTATTCGTGTATCGTGTTTAGGCATGGCTGCGGGAGACACACAAGCTGTAGATGAAAATATTGTGCGTGTGTTTCACGGAAATATAAAATAATAATAATAATAATAATAATAATAATGGGTAATAGAATTTTACGTGGTACACAATCGAGACAGCGGCGAAATCGCGCATATATGAGTGAAAATATTTTATCGCATTGTCAAAAAGCGTACAGGTGTACGACAGAACAATAGTGATGATAAAACTAAATGTATTAGAATAGTGATGATATAGTATCAAGTGTCACAGTGAAATAGTGTACGCGAAACTATCTATGAGTAGAAAATACGTGTTGTAACTAGTGGCCGAAGTGGTTCGAATTGATGAGCGGAGGGCACGACACGAATACTCTATGTCCACAAATGTTTTATTATTATTTTTTAAAGAACAAATCCATTACAATCAAACGTAATACTGCAGCAGTATCGTTTTAAAAATTATTTACAAAACGTAATATATATATATTTTTTTTATTTGCTATTGTCTGAGACATTACACTGTAATGTCCCCGACAATAGCTGTAATGATTACAGCAATACAATTAAGTACCAGTAATTTATTGTGTGGTGTACACGATAATTTAAAAAAAATACGTTTATATTGATTAAATTAAGAAGCCGGTGGAAATGATAAAATTAATGATGGAGTTGATGATATGGGTAGAGCGAAAGTTAAGAATAAGATTTGAATCGGGATAAAGATAACCTAGGGTGGATAAAGAATGAAAAAAGGAGATTTCTACTAGGATAAAGAGAGGGACAACGGGAAATTATATGATTGAATCACAGACTATTTCTACGTGGTGTAGGGTGCATAAAAATGAGTTAAGAGAGAGTTTAAAGGAACGATGAGGTAGTAGACAATGGCCAATTCGAAAGCGGGTGAATGAGAAACGTCATACTTAAAATCACATTTTTTTCAATCAATGGGTGATTTCCAAAATAAAATAATGGATCCCCATATTCTACTTTATGAGAACTTGTTAATATGTATTATTATTATTATAATTAAAACTCATAAAAAATAAGAAATACTTATATTTACTAATAAACAAATAAAATAAATAATAACTGTATACATATTTTTAAAAGCTACTTAAATATACAAACGAATGTTATAAAAGTTATAGTATATCACACAGGATACAGAATATAATTTCTAAATGTACTAAAAATACTATAAAAATGTTTTGATACGAGATGATCAATTAAAATTATTATTGTATTCTACAATGTCACTTAATTTAATAACTCTAAGTAAAAAAGCTACCACTGATTATAACTACCGCTGTAGTAAAATACTGTTGTGCTTAAATATATGGGTCTTCTCAATGTAACGCTCGTCCTGATTCGTTCCCGAAATGAATACAATTAAGTTTAATTTATTTCCATATTTACAATGCGCTTTAATGTAATCATCCAAACGACCATCAAAATCCACATGAACAGTTATACAGCAAACGTCGAAAAAATAACGGATAAATTACGTCGATAAATAAATTATACAAAATAATTCGACTGATCCAATGGAACGATGATTAACTAACGTAATGACGTACACAGCAACGTAAAAACGCACTTAACCTTCGGGTGTGAGATGAATACAATACACGACTGTACACGGTTTGAGTATTTTTTCGCGAATTGATCGAAAGCCCTTTTCAACGATACTCTTGAGGATATGTGTAGTAATGTAGATATGGATCGGGGTACACGTATTGTCTTATTCTTCTTCGGTTTTTTTTTTTTTTGTTTTTGAAGGCCGACGAGGTCCATCCCGTGCTACTGTTTCTCCGTCTCGTATCCGAATTTCCGCCAAATCCTTTTTCGCTTTGTCCATTCACCTTTGTTTTTCGGTTCGTTTCCAGTCAGTGGTCTTTTCCCATATGGTTTTCGTTTTAACACCATAAGACCTCCGCACGTGGCCAGCTCTTCTGCACTGCAACACCGCTCTACTACGCCCGGTTCTTAACACAACTACTAATATAACTAATATGTACATCGCGTCGTTATTATTATTATTATTACTATCGTTATTAATTAACTACTTTGCGCGAGACCCGGCTGTATCGGCCGGCCGCGCACTGGTCGGCGTGCTCACGGGTACGCGTATGTTCCGCCGTAACCGGCCGCGCCGCCTCCGCCGTAACCGTATCCGCTGTAATCGTTCGGGTACAGCTGCGGCGTGTACGGCTCGTGGTGCACCTCGGACGAGTAGCTGTGGCCGTGCGTGACCTGAGGCTTGGCCACCACCTCGTACACGGCACCGCCGCCGCCGCCCTTGGCCGGGCCGTGGCCGCCCATCCAGCCCGCGCTCAGCCCCGTCAACGCGATCGCGCCAAACGCGAACAGCAGCGCCTTGCTGGCCATCACCACCAGGGCAAGGGCGCCCAGCGATATCAGCGCGCCGCCCGACATCAGCGAAGCGCCTAGCATGTGGTCCATGTAGTCGTCCTTGTTACCTGCGAACGGAAACCAACGCACACACGTTGTAAGACGATCGCTGCACAACGACCGCGAACGTCCGCTATGCGCGATAAGATGTTTCGTCGGACAGAGGGCTGGTTTAAGGAGGTGGATAAGGGGAAGTTAGCACCCCAACCCCTTAGGACTAAGATAACTATTTTACCAAGCCAAGTATTATGATACATTGATATATTAATAATTATTATAAAACATCGTCAATCGTCATTGATGAATATGGTATTTTTATATATTTTTTTATAAATAAATAGCACATTTTTGTAGTTAATCATATGTATATAGGTATATATACCTATATTTTTAAAATGGTTTCAGATTAAAATTAATACCAGTAATCTAACTAATTAAAATTTGTCACTATTGTGAAAAAAATGACTTACTTATGAGAAGCTCAAAAACATATTTTGTAATTTAAAATTGTATAAAGATTTCAAAAACAACTTAGTACTCACGACGATTCAATATGTGATTTTAATCACATTATATTTAACTGTCCTTCCTTTCTCCTTAGCAGACAACTTTTCTTATTCTTATCTTCCTTTGGTTATATAACTCCCGACTCTAATCTTCTCCTTAACTCTCACACTATTCCTATCATTCATTCCACTATTCATTTCATCTATTTTTCTGGCTTTCTTATTTAATTTATACATAATCATATTAAGCTAATTAGTAATAATCTTTATATTTAACTTATCTAATTGTATTGCTGTAATGGTTATCAATTAAGGCAAAATAAATTTAAAAAAAAAAATTAACTAACTTCTTAAACCTCCATTAGCTCCACCTTTGGTGAGTGATAAAACCCACCCTTGTCGTCAGAACGAAACTCCTTCGGGCCTGCGCGCGTTCGCGACCGAAAACCGTAACAGCTTATCGCCGCCACCAATTTTTTACCGTAGTCTAGCCCGGTCGTCGTGCATTGTTTTCATTAAATAACGTTAAAAATCGTATAAATATTTTAATTTATTTTTTTTTTTACGATTAACAATGTTTCTAACTAGCGGCGTACCTACCCTCTACTCGGTCCGTACCATGCGTCGCTTCGATCGTTTCGGGATTTTGCGGTCCACCGTCAACGGTTGATCGTGAGCAGGATAGATGCGTAGCTAATGAGAGTGTATCGCGAACAAAAAATATCGCGAAAACCGATACAAGCAATACGAATTTGAGCGGAAATTCGCCGAGAACACAATGCGCGGAAAAAATAGCTATAGTTACAAGTTAGCGTGGTCGATCAAACCGACGAAGTGCAAGTCGATCGAATATTTAACAACTGTTTGATTGATCTCGTCGCACCATCAATTTCTGTTTTAGTAAATACCGTTCCTCATAACGTACTTCAGTTATCACACGCCTATCATTTCATCGATAAACTGTTAAATCGCAAACATTTGCAAAGAATAAAGAACCTCGTTTAATGTGTTTAGTGCAATTAAACTCCTTAAAATCTAGTCACGTCCTGATGTGAATCATAAGTTTCGCTTCTATCACGGTTTGTATATCGGTGTCCGTTCAGTGTTCGTACGAAAGAAAATATATGCCCCGGAATTTCGGACACTTTTCACTGTGGTACCCGTTGCATTATGTTTAACTCGTTCAAACTGTTGTGCGGGCGTCCAATATCAAATAATAAAGTTGGCCCGCTCACCGAAATTTCATATCGATTTCAAGCCATCGCCTTTATATTTCCAACTAACTCAAAACTATATGGAATCTGGTTTTCCGGATTTGATATATTAAATTCAAATTATTTGTCTCGGAAAGTTACTTTTCGTGCAGGGATCTAACTACACGCTGGTTTCTCGGTACCAAACTTTATTTGCTTTCGTCGAACGTTTTTGTTTCGACCAATTATCATACATACACAATGATCATCACTCTGTGTTTAATGGGACTGTTGAAAATGTATGATAGTTATACAAATTAATATAATACGAAAAGAAAAGGAAAAGTTTTAATCTATCTTGTAATACTAATAAATTTCATTAATCACAAATTCAACGAATTTCGAAGATCTTTCTCGTCTTGTAGTACAAAATAAACTCCAATAACAATTAAATTCATACACACTTGCATAGTAAATATCCTTTATAATACAATGTAGTATATCGTGATTATCTGTCTGAAATGTTTTTTAAAACGTAGATATATTATTGGTAATAATATATCTATATTTTAAGTAATAATTTATTACTCTCAATTCCAGGATAAGTATAATGCAAAATATATAGTTCACTGAAGAAAATACTAAAACATGATTACTGTTCTTCAAATTTAATGTCTTTATTTAAATGTTCCGACTGAAATTTTCAACATCTGTTATCAGACAGCTGTACAATTATTTTGAATATATCCTTTAAATATGAGTAAAGCTAATAATACATGATAGTTATTTGTGACGAGATATAATAGGTACGAATACAATTAGCAAGAAAATGTTTGGAGTGATAAAGTATTTAACAATTAAAACAAACATTTGTCGGAAAATACTAGAAATTATTATTTATTCGAATTATTGTTACTTTTTTACATGAATTTTCTTCAAATATTATTTCCATACAAACTCTGACATACGAGAAATGTTTGCCTACTGGTTTTATTTCAGACAGTATAACATAGAAACTTATTTCACTTTTACAGTGAAATGTAAGACATTTTCGAACAATAATAATAGTTAAAATTGTAAAATTATAATAAATTTATATAATATATATATATATTGTTATATTAGCGATTTTATTTAACCCTTTCAACTCTACTGTGTTTGACTGTATAATGTTATGTTTAATCGTTTTCATAATACTGTACTGAAGCATAACTGTTTTATTTTACTAATTAAATTTATGAAATTTATTTCATCGCTTAAATTTATTCCATTTAAAACTTGCTGATGTTAACCAAGGCATGCTATAATATTTAAATGTTAGTCAATCGACGTGTAATATTCAGTTTGCCTTGTGCACATGTTTTTAGAAGTAAATACTGAGTGTTCAATGATTTTATTGATACAGTATAGTATGGTATTTGTTTAAGAAAACTGTATACAAAAAAATTCATTCAAAACTATCCAGTCTCGATTAGCTATAAGCAAACTACATGTAATTCAGTAATAACTTCTTTATGATTTCCTATTTTTTTCTTCTCTCTCACTAGTATTAATACCACACAATGGTCATTGCTGCTGAGGGTTTGTTTGAATGAAAAAAAAATAAAAAATAAAAATATTCATTCGTATTACCTACATATTAAACGTCATATATTTGTGAAATATTATTTTGTATCTAAAAATAAAATAAATTTTTTTTGTTATTAGTATAATTACCATAGCCATGTTTTTTCTTTCCCAAGTGCTGTGGGTGTGGGACACCGTAACGATTTCCGATTTTTACAATCGCAGGTGTAACTTGTGTGGCAGTCGGTAACTCCGAAGTCTCAGGGAGTGGCATGCCGTCAAACTCTTCTGAAAAATCAAGTTCGTTTTAATATAATTCATGTATAAAATACCAAATTTTACCCAAAGAATATTTATGATACTACAAATAATAAAAATACACAAAAATTAACCACAGCGTGCATTGGTCACATTTATGTATAGGTTATATCGAGCAATATTATACTGCTTAACTAATAAAATTTATTAGCTTTATAATTAATATTTCGTTAATATTAAGTTTTACACGAAATAACTTTTTTTGTGAACAAAAATTTTTGGTTCTATCGTGTATTAGTAAAATAGTTACATGTTTTCGATTAAACTAACTACGTATATGGAAATAATAATCTAATGAGCAAAACTTTTTCTACGAATATTTTTATTGCATATTATCACGTCATATTATTACGTTGTGATAAAATTAAATTGTTAAATTTAAAGTTTTTTTTTTAATAAAATAAACTTACTTGCACAGCTTAATTCGTATTTTGAACGCTAGAAAGCACTCGACTTATAGTAAAAATAATTATTTAGAAAGTATTACTAACAAAACGAGATAAACATAGTAGGCAACTACACTAACACACAAGAGCAATATATCATCAAACAAATAAACAACTCGGAGTTATACGTTATCCTTGTTTTTTTTGTTTTTTTTTTTTTTTTTTTATTAAATTAAATGTTAGTCCGAAATTTCAGATGGTTCGCTTTACAGTCGACATTTACTCAGATTTCGTTTCTGTAAAAACATATTCGATATTATGAACAATAGTCAGGTCAAAGGCTGATACTTTTCTTCATTAAATTTATGAAGTGCTTAATATAACATTAAGTCTTTGACGGGCGGTTTCAAGTTAAGGAAACACACCTTGAAAATGTTTGAATTGTACGTACAATCACTGAATACAAAAACAATATTATAACTATTTATTGATGCACATACACTTAAACGAAATTTTAGATATTAGATACCAAGTAGTTTTCGATGTCTTAAAACGTATCTCACTGTAATGTTGAACGGGGACGAATTTAACGTAAATTTAATGTCACGTAAATATTATGTTTTAACACGACGGCGATGCGAAATAAATTATTTGAGTATGTCTCTCGCAAGTGTTCAACGGATTCAAGTCATCGCGCGCGTCCATATTGATTTCCGAATACTCTACTGTTGTACACCATTGTAATATGTTCTGATGCGCAGTGCACATGGATCGGCGACCGTTACGACGGAATAAACGATAATACGCGCCTACGCGCGCGTGCACACATTATTGCCATCGCAGTGGTACGGTTATAAGCTAAAATCATTTTAGTTCGAATGTACAACGGAACGATTATTGTTCCGTTGTGCATTTGAACGTTTTACGCATTTTAAAGTGACACGGTTTTTCGGGGGAAGAAAAATTAATCATAATGATTTTGTACGTGCGTTACGATACACCACCTAACGTGTTGGCGCGTAGTATGGTTTATCGAACCGTAAGCCCCTCGAAGTGCACAGCCGTCAGGGTGCGTGTCCAGCTCGCAGCGCGTAGATTTGTATTAGTTCAACGACGGCATAGAACAACACAATTATTCACCGCTTACGCTATAGCATACTCAAATGATATACCTTCTTTGATCGCCGTGCCCCATTTGTCGTCGAATTGCCGGGTTTCCTCGCCGGCATCGTGGCCAAACGCCGTCGAAAAAATAGCAACCACTGCTACGGTAGCAACGCAAATCGACTTAAAATCCATTTCTGTAGCGTACGGTTCAGAAATACATTTCCACCGGCCGTAACGTGCCGAAGAAGACTGAACGCGATGTTCACTCGTCTTTTATTGATAATACTTACCAAACGTCAAGTCAGCCAGTGTGTGAACCGTTCGTGATTTGGTTTTACGTGTACCCGCGCGTTAACAATCGACTATACAAAGAATAATATGTTATTTACATATATATATATATATATATATATATATATATATATATATACGTGTGTGTTTGTGTGTGTGTATATACGTACACCTATTCCTAGAACAATAGTGAGCGACTTCTTTACTTGTCAAAACAGTCATCTTTAACTACAACGTTTTGTTTTGGTAAAATTTATTTTTAATTTTTTTTTTCTCTCCACTTATGTGTTGGTTGGACTGAAGAAGTGTTTGGGAATCGATTACCGCTTTGGTAGTGTACGTTTAAATTGTATATATAGACGTTTTCTATTTAGTCGCAGTGTCACGTGTATTGTTCTTAAATGACCGACCAAGAGTATTCGATAATTATTCTTGTAAAAAAAAAAGAAAAAAAAACATTCCACTTCGGCTATTATATGTACACTTTAATACAGTTATAATAAACCAAGAGTCATATACTCGTATTTTATAAACTGTATAGTTTACAAAAGTTCTGCAAATGTATTATGTGCACAGAAGATACGTATGAAGATTTATTATGTCATTTACCAATATTTATAATAAAATTCGATTTGTTTGAACAACAAAGTCAACAGATTAATGTAGTAGTAATTTTTAATCCGTTTTCAGTGAGAATTGAAAATTTTATTATTTCATTGACAATCCTATTTTACTTTAGATTTGCTTTGTAATCAAGAGATTCATTAACAAAATCCAATTTTCATAATTTTCATATGATGCACAGAAGAAAAAAATGCAGTACACAATATTCGATTGAAATGTATACGTATGTGCAGCACATACCAATAGTCGACGGGTCGTATTATTTTCCTGACAGGTAAACCGTAGTGAGATCGATGAACGTAAATCTTAAAGCTACAATAAGCGTATGGATGTAAACAACCAACAATTTTATGCCACCATTTCTACACGTACTACAGAATTCATTATAGTTAACGATGCAAAATAAAAGTATAAAATGATTAATTATTTTTATTTCACGGACGGTTAACGAAATATTTATCTTTTTACAAGTTATTGTGCAATAAAGATAATAACCAATTCGATGGGTCCGTGTTCAGCAACATAGCTTACAAAATATTAGTTTCATTAACAACACAAATGCGCGTGGACATTTTCGTAGCAACTGTACACGGATGTGAGGCGGAAACGAAATTGGTGTAGTGTGCAGTTCCAGGCGCGTGACTAATATATGTTTATCTGCACGTACAGTAATCGTGTAAGTGCCTGTAAGTACAAAAATGCTGACAAAAAGTTCCTTGATATGTTTACGATCTGATGTTTAGAAAAATCGTACAATCGCATCAATATGATTTGTACTATGTGTACCCATTATGATCAATATCGCACAATAAGTATTGGTATGTATTATTATACTTAAGTTACCGACGAAGACGTTCAGTAATATTTTCTTACCATCGTCGTTGTCAAGAAATTTATGATATTTCCTATAAGCTAGGAACTATAGACTTAATGCCCGTTGTCAGATTTGTGCATTTTTCGTCAATAGATATAATTTTTACAAACGTTGATATCATTTTATGTTAAGCAATCAACTACTTTTCCTATTAATATTACGAATATTTACGATATTGGCTGGATATTTATTACCTTGTTTCCTAAATTGCATTATTATCCTTAACACGAACATATTTATGAGAAGAGAAAAAAATTAATTTCATCAAAAAACAACAGGCAAACATGTGATGTGCAGGGAAAACGGTAAAATCATCTCCGTTTATAATATAATACGGCCGAAACGTTTGTTCGCTATATCGACATTTCAATGACTTTTTTAATATGTATTTTTTTTTTTAGATCGAATTGTCACAGTTATACATAGAATCGTCGTTAAAACTAGTGTATCGAATTGGAATGACGTGTAAGACTACATTGTACGATTAATGTGAGGGTTGCAGTATACCGCGGTAGCAGCAAAGCCGATCGCATCGAGAAAAATAACGATTTCGATCGGACGACCACAATGGGTACTGTTTAGTAGCGCAACAATACAGTAATAATACGACGTGAGCACATACGTAAATCGTGTGCAATTGTCAATCGGACGTGTTATCGTAGAATAACATGATTTTACGATGCTGCGCATAATGCTATCGGGTGCGCGGAAACGAAATCGGTCGGTCGGGCGAATCCGTACGGGAGGGACACAACACGCGTTTAGATGGCGTGACTAGAACTCCGATTGGCCATGGCAAAACAATCCAGCCCTTGGCCATACAAAGACCCACCCCTGCTAATAGGTAATAAATAATTAAAAACACATTTCGTACACAGTCGTTTGGTGTCGGTTTGATGACATATTTTTCTTCTTGAATTTGTTTTATCAAACACAGCAATGGAATCTTCGAATTAACCTTTCGAACCGTTTGTCGTTCGATTGAAAGTAACGCCAGGCCATTTAAACGGTCGTACGATAAGTGTCGCAGACATCGCGAGTTGACGAACAAACGCTGTACATAAAACAAGCGTGTATCAGTCACGTAAACTGATTTCACATTAGTTCGGTTTTACTAGAGCGTAGGGTTTTTTTCTCTCCAAAAATCACGGTGTTTTTCGATTTCGTAATGACTGTTATTTGGATTGCCCGCTTTCCTCGATTAGCCCTCCGGAGCCACGGGCTCATCGGCCCCCGTCTTGCTATCGCGTGCAGTGCATGTGTGAGCCCGCGCTCGCACCTCGGCCGTCGGTAAACTTATTATACGACCGCTGTGTTCACAGGCACGACGGACAGGTGTACGGACGCGCGTTCGACGAGCGAGAAGAAAGTGGTGCGCGCATGTGTGTGCCGGTGAAGCGAAGACGTTGGAAAGTAGTCTGGAGGCCGCGGATCGATGTTTTTTTTATTTATTTATTCATTTTTTTTCCTTCTCTATTTTCTTCGTCGGCACTACCGTATACGGGCTGCTCGCTCGCGACTAGTTTCCCATTGTAGGTCAACACAACCTTGGCCGTAGCGCATTCCGACGGACTTTTCCCATCCGTATCACAATGTGTGCGCTCGCACGCGCACGCAACAAGGACACGAATTCGGGTCAGAAATCTAAGCGGCTCTCGTTGCGATCATTTTTTCGTGTCGGACGCGGACCCGCGGGTACAGTGCACCGTGTGGGCACCAACGGTGTTTGTCGACCGTGTTCACGCCCGCGGACCGACCAGGAGATGTACAGAATGTTTACACCGTTGTACAACTCAATGTCGTACTAAATCGATTTATTGTTTATCTACCTGTACACTCTAGGGCTGTAAAGTATATTTAAGAATACGCATTACTACCATTTTATTACACATTACGCTTGGCCATACGTTGAATACAATACATCAATGTATTAAAATGTAAGAAAATCCTCTAATAAGGACAGTGTATCTTAAATCGCAGTCGAGTTTAAAAGAATACCGTTTATAATTGTAATCCTCACCATGGTCTAGATGTTATGTATCATGTTAACTTACATTTACCTCGCAGATAAATATTTTAAAAATAATCGTCATAGCATAATATGCTTAGCGATTAGCATATACGAATTACAAATCTAAAAGATAGTAAACCAATAAATGGCAACGCATACTAATGCATCTCCGGGCTTTTTTTCCGTCATGCACATGTATTTAATATGTTTATTTGTACTTCTTTTATAATCTGCAGATATGAACGCGGGAAGTATTCGAATCCGACCGCGGAGACTTTAACGCGCTCGTCGTACATTGGAGAGTATAAAATACGACATATTTTACAGATGCTACTATAACATGTACCTTAAACAACCTATCGGATATTTCGGTGCTTCAGCGGTGTTGTGTTCTATTGAAATCCATTGAAATATTATTATGTATACATCTGGCGTGTAAATGTGTACGCGAGGTGACTTCACTAACATGCCTTCGGTATGCCGTTAAACAGTATTTTATACCCATCGTGAGCGACTTTATTATCCATTGCGGCCACTGATAATTTATCTGTAACAATAATTATCATTTAAACTGTACGCGTCGTTGACATAATTTATTCAGTTTTTTTTTTTTGTTATTGTAACAATAACTTATTATACCTAATAACTTGGGTACACAAATAAATAAACATAACTATACTACTTTAACGGTTAAACATATCTACGTGGTTATTTACATGATTTCGTAGCTACTTTATTAGGTTTGTTTCATTTCAACGTATGATATTTTATTTTCTGATGTTAAGATAAACAGATTTTAAAATTTACATATTTCGAGTTTTAATTCCGAACACGCACGTTTTACTAGAGGCTCTACGATAATGCGTTTGACTTATTCTGGCACTATGAGTTATTAAATATAATATAAACGTGATAATAATATTATTATGATTATCAAATTAAAAAACAATTATATTTGATATTGTGATATTTCAGGTAAAGAGAATACTTATCCCGTTAAAGAAATGTATAAAAAATTATTTTACAGTACCTTTACTTTCAGTTTCGAGTTTCATCCCTAAATAATGAAATAATTCAAATTATATTTTAATTACTAAACACAAAAAAACTGCGCAGAGGTTTTTAATAAAACTTAATTTTTTGTATATTTTATGATGTCAAGAAAAAATATCATCATGATAAACAAATATATTCTTCTTCTGTAATCCAAATTTTATAGCAGTTTGGTTGATAAAGAAGAAATTTTGTTTTTATATCCTTTAAATGGGTTGGTCATTATTTGATTCCATATTTCAAGGGAAACTTAGTTATTCTTATGATAAAATATTTCAAACTCACAAAATAAATCAATGTAACGGTATTGTAGATATATATTGTAGGAAAAATATTCAGTCAAGTATCATATATATATATATATACTTTTCACGATATTTTACCAATTAGCTTGATTGGCATAATAATTCTAAAAATATTTATTTATACGATGTCAAAAATTGGAGT